TAGATCAAACGTTCAACGAGTTAGCTGATTCTGTTGGGGGCCTCGCGGCAAGGCTTCTCAGAGAGAGAGCTTAAGTCGACTAAGAACAATGTTGACAGGGGCTGACGGTTTGCGCGCGTTGTCTGTGAGCGCCGCGGCGAATGAACTGGCTGAAGCCTGCTGCCCGCTAATCGTCGAGGCGGGCCTGCTCCCATCAGCACCGCTGCAGTGGAAAGGGGGGGCCTGCCGAGGATCCCCAAAGCGAAAGGTAACGTCTACTCTGCGGCGGCGCCTAGATCTAGTCGTGTTGCGTCATCTGCGGGCACGACGAATTCACGTCTGTGCTAGGCGTGAACCTACGCCGGCGACGCAGTCTACATCAGGTGCTCATCAGATCGCAGAAATGCCAGGCAGAGGCAAAGTATGCGCGGCGGGAACTGGGGGAAGGGTGGCACTCTTCTTTGTCGATGTCGTGAATGCTTTCTACCTTGCCATCAGAGAGCTGTGCCACCAGAGTGAATCGCCATAATCATTTCGTGTTTTTTTTTCTACAGCTGGGCTGCTGGGGACAGATCTGCCGCTGCTGGCCAAGAGAAAGCAGGGGTTGTCCGTGGTGCATCGTCGTGACCTCACCGATCACTTCAAATCCACGGTGGAAGAGGCGTCCAGTTCGGGGTGGTTTCAACTCCAAGGGGCTTAGAGGATCTCGTTCAGGGGGGCTCGACTTGGGACGCCGCCCGTTCCTTTTCTTCACCGCTGAAGTCGCTAACGGCGCGGCAAGAGAACGTGCTGATCAAGGTATTGCGCTCTCCCTGGACATTCCTGGTTGTCACTTGTTCGAAGAGGCAGGCGGAGGAGGAAACCGGTTCAATTCCCTGGCGTAATTCATGCGGATGATCCGTTCTTCGCGCCTCTGGCGCCGCAGGAGGTTTTTGAAGCGCAGCTCGAAACAATTTGCAAGATCGCTCTCAACCCGCTTGCCCCGGCGGGATTGGCACCTCACCTCGGGGCAGGCGAGGCCGAGCTTCTTGTGCTTCTTCACGGTAGAGGCGCGGCCAACTTTGAAGGCGTGTGCTCCACGCGCTGGCGAGAGAGTTTCCTGTGCGATCGTTGCTGTGCGGAGGCGAGCATGCGCGCGCGTTGTGCGCGGCGCTGTGTGCTTTGACGCTTGACCTGGGCCCCCGAACTCATGCATCGCGATGCAGGGTCAAGAGTCCCATCCTTGGAACTCAGCAAAACTTTCAAGAGGGCCTCCAAGACAAACGTCACCCCCAAGTTGATGCTTACTGACACATTTGTCCTGAATTCGATTCTCTATGGGGCAAGCGCTTGGTACGCCATGTACGACAATCATGCTCCCAGGCTTAATGCTCATTATTCGAGCCCACGGACCTACAGATGATGAGTCCATGGCCACTGCTGCTCGTCCTACCTTGACCATATTACTTCGCGTTCATCGTCTGCGGCACTTCGGATCAATTCTGACGTCTGCTCCTGGACCTCTACATGCACTGCTGCACTCGGAGTCTTTGCAGGCGCACAAGATAATTGCACCACAGTTCGGACGATTTGTCCTGGTTGAGATACGCTCACCACTTCCCCCAGGACCTACCAAGCCCCATTCCATATCTGCAGGTTTGGGTAGATAAGGTGAAGGCTTCTGCTCAAGCGTGGAAGCGTATACTTGCCGAGGCCACCAGGGCTTGTGCAGAGAAGGCGAGAAGAGGTGTGGATGGCGATAGATGGCCGAGCAGAGTGCCCAAATCCTCGCAAGATGCGGGCTTGCCGCAAGCGTGAGATATGCCACGAGCCTCCCGATCTACCATTACTCTTCCGTGCCCGTTCTGTGACTTTGAGGCGGCGGCTTTCGCGTCACTTGACGGAAATGTCAGAGCTATGCATGTCACAGTGGCGGGTCTTGCGCGGCGGCATGTGGAGATGCCTACATGTGTTGCGTGCCTGCGCTCTTTTTCATCCAGGTCACTTCTAATAAGACGTGTCACAACTCAGAGGCCGTTTTGGTCCGTTTCTAATTTCCACTCACGTGCACCAGCTGCCACTTGAGGGCCAGAACAGGCTGGCAGTTGAGGAGCATCAGGCCAATGAGACCGCTCAAAGGAAAGGATACTCCGCGCCTCACGCTCAAATCCCATCTTTTTTCGCGCCTGGGCCACCTGCTCGCGCCGCCGCAGCTGTGCGAGACATGTTCACGCAAGAACTGTCACACACTTACATACAAAATTCTCTGCACCCTATCACAAGATGGTCTAGAAAATGTTTGCGGCAATTTGAGGTTGAGGCACCTGCCCCGGGGTCGGTCCCTGGCCTTTCGTTGGACCGGCCTTATGATAGGGATGATCGTCCGGGCGCTCTGGCCTCTAGTCCACCACGCGGACTGCATCGCGTGTATTTTTGTTACGAACGTATTTCTGCTGACAACGCAGGGTCTGATATACTCAATGTGCTATAGAGCTTCAACTTGAAACTATTCTGCCCGATTCCGAACTTAAGATGTTGCCAATACATATTCTCCTGGAGGGAGGTCTGAGAGATTTACGGAAGCCAACCACCGTCCAAATATGGAGTGAGCATATCAAGGCTGGACGTGTAGCTGCCCTTGGAGGGGGGGGGCATGCAACGCGTTCTCGGCGGCGTGGTGGAAGGACGGGAACCCCCCTCCGCCTAGGTCCTGGTCATCCACATGGAGGATTGCGGCAATCAGGCCCCAGCAGGTGTTCCAGGTGCAAGTATCTAGCGCGCTCTTCATAGCTCACATGGAGTTGCTGCCAATAACTTCACAAGTAGGAGGACGCGGGTGGGCAGAGCGCCAAACAGCCCCCCCGAGCAATTCCCTCTTGGAACTTCAAGCCCGTCAAGGCGTTGGTTTGATCCACCTGTGCTACATTTGCATAGTTTGATAGTGTGAGTTTTGCCAGACGGCTGGCAAAGCTCCGAGAAGCATCCTTGCTATCAGGCTGGAGGCGCTCCACGACATGCTTGTAAAGACGCCAGGTGGGGGCAGATGCAGTCACGGCTCGCGTGCACACACCACTTTACTTGGGCTGGGATGGGGCGAAGTCTAGGTTTCGAAAGGCACCGAAAAAAGTTTGTCCAGAGTCAATGTGCAGGGTGCTAGGTAAAGCTATGCTCCATGCTGTCTTGCCCTCGTTCACACTTTGCGAGTCGGACCTGGACGAATTCCAGATGTCTACTGTGCGTCAGTTGTTGGCTGATCATGTTCATATTGCGGCTGACCTTCCAGAAATGAGGCTAGATGTCGACAACTGTGATACGTATGAAGGTCTTGTATCCAGAGTCCGGCCAGGTTCCCACAGAGGAACAGGTGCTGGAGGAGTCGCACCACATTGCAAAAGGGTCTGCCAGAGAGGCCCAGCAGCTCATCCTATTCCGCACTGAAAATGAGCCAGAACTCCCACCTCCTCCTCCTCCTCCTCCTCCTTCGCCTCTTCCTCAACAGATCTTAGACAGAACTGCGGCTAATCGGGCAGAAGCGCTCAAGCGAAGACGAGCCAGACAGATGGAGTTTAGGCGCCTGCCCATTGACACACTCAATATTTTCAATACCAAATCAGTGCAACATCCTACCAGAAGGCAAACCACATTTGGCTCAGTCGGGTCTACACAGATGGTTCACTGCTGCCACTACCGAATATGTTCCCTTGTATGTTACCATCATATGCTACTTTTCTGTGTTATCCGTTCCCTTCCTCCCATCAGCATGCCCAGCCCAAGTTTGCGATCCTGCTGATTCTTGGGAGGAGGAGATATTTCAGGTAAGAGGGCGGGGAGAGAAAGATAGAGAGAGAGAGAGAGAGAGAGCGAGAGAGAGAGAGAGAGAAAGAGCTGGCGAACGCCGAGGCCCACCCGTGCCTTCCTTTTGTGCCCGTTCCGCCTGTGCTTCAATCACATCAGACAAGCGCGCCCAGGGAGCGGGCGGGCCGTGCTTGACTCTAAGAGGGAGGCCGAGTTTCAGGAATGGGTTTTGAGCTGTTCTCTCATCTTGCGCTCTTTCTTGGCTCGGCTGTTCTTGTGCCGACGGCCGCCTTGCACAAACCTTACGTGCTTGGGCTGAGTGAACTCACTTCACGTGTGCTCCCTGATCCGTGTGGCCCGCCTCTGGCGGGCACGTGGCCTGCCACTGCTCGAAATTTCTGCTGCACGCCCCCGGCTGTGGCTCCCCGGTGGGGCCCCTGCGCGGACCTCCGATCCGATCCGATCCTCCTCCCCCTCTTCTCCCTCCCCCTCCTCCTGCTCCTCCTCCTCCTCTTCCTCCCCCTCCTCCTGCTCCTCCTCCTCCCTTTCCTCCTCCTCCTCCCTTTCCTCCTCCTCCTCCTCCTCCACCTCCTCATCCTCCATCTTCATGTCCCCCCCTCCCCCCTGCTTCCCGCGCCTCCTTCCCATCGGAGGTGGAAGCGAAGAGGGGGACGGGACGGGAGCCTGGACCCCACCCCTTGGTGGAGCGATCCTTCCCTCTCGTTCTCCGTCTGATCTTTTCCTCCTTCCTGATGGGCCACGTTCAGGGGGAACCAGCCCAGGGGGGGGACATCGAGGTGGAATCGGCGGTACGTCGCCGATAGATCGGCGATAGGCCCCCGATAACGAATCCGCACTTTCCTGTGCGGTGTGGGCTATCGGGCTTTCATCGGCGATTGACGAGTGGGGGTCGATGCATCCCCCCTTGGCCCATCCCCCCCTGACGTTGCGGATCGGGAAATCGGACCGAATCGGAATCGCGTCGGATCGGGCTGTATCGGCGCGGAATCGAAATCGAATCGGACCTGCTGCGCCAAAATGCACAACAACGCCATGCAAGCACCGGGCCGCGTCGTATGGTCGGGATATCGGAATCGAATCGGATCGGGCCGGAATCGATATCGAATCGGACTGATAAGATCGAAATGGACACCGCGCCGCTCCCCTCGCAGATCTCCCGAATAAAGTGGAAGCAAAGAAGCGGGAGAAGGCAGCTCTCCGCATCGCTGATTTATGGCTCCTCTCTCCTTGTTGATGGCGGCGGCGAAGGCGACGAACTCCAGCTTGGAGATCGATCCACTGCCGTCCGCATCGATGCGACTCCATATGTCTTTCAGCATGCCGACGTCGGCGTCCTCATGACTGTGTGAAAAGGCTAAGGACGACTCACTGATGCAACCACTATGTGGTGCCCGCACAGTACGCAGGCGTCGGACGACCCAAATATGCGCCGACGACTCAAACGCCGCTGGCCCGCTTGCGGGGACATCAGGCTGCGGAAACTGCTTTTTGTTTTCTTTTTTGTATCCCAAACAGCGCAGCGCTTGCACTCAGGGACTCTTATTTCTTTTCTAATAACCTGGGCTGGTGTGGCGGTCTGGCGGCTATGTTGTCGCCGTCGACGCCCCTTCGCCGCCTCGTCGCCGGTCTGGGCAGGTGTGGCGGTCTGGCGGCTATGTGTCGCAGTCGCCGCCTCGTCGCCGCTCGTCTGGGCCTGGGTGGCGGTCTGGCGCCCATGTCGTCGCCGTCGCCACCCCGTCGCCGCCTTGTCGCCGCGCGTCGTCTGGGCCTGGGACGCGGTCTGGCGACTATGCTGTCGTCGTCGTCGCCCCCTCGGGGCCCCGTCGCTCTGCACCGCATATACTGTTCCACATCGATTGCGCAACACAGATTCTCCGGTCTAAAAACAGATTAGGATCTACCCCCCCCGGCGTTATCGACACCCCTTTCGGGTATGTAGATCGTATATGATTTTGACCACATGTCCATCCGAAATATGAAATCGCAATGTCCCAGGCCATCCGGAATCCCCCCCTGAGGTTCCCTTGTAAAAAACACTATGCGGTGACATTTTCTGTTCCAACATAGCACTTGTTCACGAATCCGTTGCAACAAATGGGACGAAGTGCACACGCGCGCGTCGTCGCGCGGGGCATGCCAAAATCCTTCAAAAACCTTCGGTGCCGGAAGGATTTCGCAATCGAGTTTCCAAAACGCATACAACAACACAGGGTTTCGCAACACTGATTTGCTAAAAGAACTTCCGCGCGAGCTCTTGCAAAATCTTAAGAAAACCATGGGTTTTGCAATATTTTTACAACATGCTATTAAACGGGCTTCGCGCGCGCATGTCGAAATCAGTCGAACGCCCTTGCGCGTGTGCCGTCGCGAGAATCCTTTGCAAACAATTTGACGAAATGCAGACGCGCGCGTCGTCGCGCGCGTATGCCGAAAACCTTCAAAACCCATCGGTTTCGGAAGGATTTCAAAATCGTGTCCGAAAAACCTACAACAAAACAAGGTTTCGCAACACGGATTTTCAACAAAAGCGTGCGCGCGCGCGCTCTTGCGTCGTCGTCGTCGTCGTCGTCGTCGCCGTCCTCCCTACTCCCGCGTCGTCGTCGTCGTCGTCGCCTACGTCGTCTTCTGTCTTTCCTCGTGTTCGTCGTCGTTGTCGTCCTCTTTGGCGTCGTGGTCGTTTCCGTCGTCGTTGTCGCCGTGGTCGTCCTTCCTCCTCCTCCCTCGTCGTCGTCGTCGTCCGTCGTCGGCGTCTCGTCGTCGTCCCTCCTATTTCGTCGCCGTCGTCGTCGTCGTCGTCGTGTCGTCGTCGTCTTCCCTCCTCCCTCGTCGTTGTCGTCGTCGGCGTCGCCGTCCTTCCTCCTTCTTCGTCGTTCGCGTCGTCGCCGTCCTCCCTCCTCCCTCGTCGTTGTCGTCGTTGTCGTCGTTGTCGCCGTCGTCGTCCTTCCTCCTCCCTCGTCGTCGCCTTGGTTGGCGTCGTCGTCGTCGTCTTCGTCGTCGTCGGCGTCGTTGTCGTCGTCGAAGTCGTCGGAGACGTCGTCGGTGTCGTCGTAGTCGTGCGCATGCCGAAATTTGTGATAAGCCTTCGGTTTCGTAAAGACTTCAAAACCGAGTGCCCCCAAAAACCTATAAAAGCACATGGTTTCCCAAAACGGGTTTTCAACCAAAGCCGCCGTTTGCGCTGTTGAAGATATCACTTTTTGTTGTCTCAAAACGGTTTCCATTTGTTTCATAACATGGTACCAAACGGGCCTCCCGCGCGTGCATGTCGATATCGTTCGAACGCACTTCTGCACGGGTTGTCGCAATAACCCTTTGGCAAAACACATGGCGAAGTGCACGCGCGCGCGCGCCGTCGCGCGCGCATGCGGGAATCTGGTGAAAACCTTGGGATCCGTAGCGGCTACCAAAACAATATACCGAACACATCTTGTTAGATAAAAAGCGGTTTTGTTACTTCAAGTTTCAAACAAACCTGCGAGCGCGCGCGCCTTCTTGCGAGCTCTTAACAAAACCACCAGTTTTTCAACATTGTCATCACATCCTGCCAATCGGGCCGCTCGCGCCGCACGTCGAAGTCATCCGAATGCTGGTGCGCGCGTGGTTGTGGTGGGGGGAACACTATCCACACCAGATAATACCACGCGGGCCACTCGCGCGAATCGGCCGCGCGCGCGTGTCAAACTCCGTCTAAAACCTTCACCGCCGACGAGCGGGCATCGTCATCGTTATCGGCGGACGTGATCAATTTCGGCGCCGTCATTGGCCTTGCCGTCGTCATCGCCACCATCGTTGCCGTCATCGCTACTTTATCATCGCGTCTACCGTTGTCGGCGTCGCCATGATACCGCGCCTGCCCAAGCCACCGACCCGAGCTGAAGTGCCCGCTGGAGGTGCCCAGCGGTCAGCGCCACCACGGCCGCGTTGGTCGCGCCGCACGAGCTGGTCGCTGCGCGCGCGAGAATGCGCGGGCCAGCGCAGTCGCAGAGATGCACCAGCCAACGCCAAGCACTCACCGCAATCGCCGCCGCATGGGTTTTGCAAACCAAGTTGCGGGCGGGTGGGTGGGGTAATTACGCGAGCATTGGAGTTGACAACTCACCGCGAGCGCTGGTGAATTGCACCGCGCAGATTGCGCCGCATAGCTAGCCCCACCAAAGTGGCACAATATAGACTACCCCACATAGATTGCATTACGTTGTTTGCCCCACGTAGCTTGCACAACGCTATGGCTATACATGCACTGCGCGTCGCAGATTGCACCGCGCTGACTGCGCAACGAATATAACGCCACAAAAACTTCGCAACGTGCGTTCCCCCTTTCTAAACGATATTGCGATCTCCCCCCCCCCGCCCCGGATTTCTCATTTTCCGCGTGATAATTTACAAATGATTCTGCGCCATCGTCCATCCTAAATGCGAGCTCATACCATCCCAGGCAGGCCGGCATCCCCCCCTCATCCTCTGCAAGAAATATTATGCGCGCGCACTCGTTCACCACGAACCACCAGTTGTCAGACATCCATGGCAACAGAAAAAAACACATGACGAAGTACACGCGCGCACGTCGTTGCGCGTTCGCCGAAGCCGCTCAAAAGCCCGAGGTGTCGCAGGGATTGCATAACCGAGTGCCCCGAATTTTTTTGTTATAAAAAAATATTGCTCCGCAGCGAATATCCCCCCCCCCAAAAAATGCGCCCGCGCTCTTGCGAATTCTAGAGAATACCATTCGTTTTTGTCAAACGTGTTCATAACGTGCTACCAAGCGGGTGTCTCGCGCGCGAATGTCGAAATCTGTCGAACGCCCCCTGCGCGCGCCGTGGCAATAACCCCTTGCGCACAACGCGGTGCGAACCGCGCGCGCGCGCCGTCGCGGGCGCGCGCCGAACCCCCTCAAAACCTAACGTTCCGTAAGGATTTCAACATCGAGTTCCCCGCGCACATGTGACGGCACATTTTCTATGCTAGTTCTCCGAAAAAAAAAAGGAACCTGCGCTCGCGCTGTTGTAAGATTCAAAGAAAAACATCGGTCTTTCGTTCGGCTCAACAATAAATTCAGCCGAGCGGGCCCCTGGCGCCGCATGTCGAAATCATTCGAGCGCCCTATCGCGCGCGCTAGGGGAGGGGGGGGGGGGGGCTCGATCAGTGTCAAGTAATGACGCCATGCGGGCTGCTCTCGCGCGTTAGCCGCGCGCGCGTGTCGAACTCCTTCCAAGACCTCTATCGCCGACGCGAGGAAGCCGTCATTTTCGTCGGCGTGGCCAGCATCGGCACCGTCGCTGGCCTTGCCGTCGTCGTTGTCACTATCGCCGCCAACATCGCTACTTTCATCCTCGTGTCCGCGGCCGTCGTCGTTGCCATGATGCCGCGCCCGCCCGAGCCACCGACTCGCACTGGAGGCCCGCTGGGAAACGCCCAGCTGTCGGCGCCGCCGCGGCCGCGTCGGTCGCGCCAAACTAGCGGGCCGCTGCTTGCGCGAGAATGCGCGGGCCAGCGCGGTCGCAGATATGCACCAACCAACTAACTCTAAGCACTCATCGCATTCGCCTCCGCGCAGGCTTACGCAGACCAAGTCGCGAGCGGGCGGGCGGGGTGGTCGCGCGGGCAGCGGAGTTGACAACTCACTGCATACAGAAAGTCATGCAACGCATAGGTCGTGCACCCTCGATTATCCTCTTCTGAAGCAATTTCGGGCCCCCCCCCGGAATTGACGCGCCCCCTCTTCGCGTTTCAAATTGCGTATGAATTTGCCCCATCGTCCATCCTGGGCGTGAACTCATGGCGCCCCGCGCAGGTCAGCATCGGTTCCCCCCTCTATTCTCCGCAACAGATACTACGCGCGCGCACTCGTTCACCAGCCACCACCAATTGCCAAAGATCCCTTGCAACATTCAAACGAAGTGCGCGCGCGTCGTCGCGCGCGCATGCCGACATCTTTCGAGAACCGAGGTATTCGCAACGACTTCGAAAACGAGTGTCACGACTTCGCAGCAAGGCGTTTCAAACAATTCTTGCGCTCGGGCTCTTACGTATGCTTAAAGAAACAAAAAACATTGGTTATTCCACGGTCTCATAACTGTCTACCAAACGAGCCTCTCGCGCGCGCGTGTCGGAATCGCTCGAACGCCCTCGCGCGCGCGCTGTCGCATGAACCTCTTGCACAAAAAACAATCGAAATGCGCGCGTGCTCGTCGCCGCGCGCGTCGTGCGCGCGTCGCCGCAAGAATACCTTGCGTAAATTTAAACGAAGTGCGCGCGCGCGTCGTCGCGCGCGCGTGCCGGAAGCCTACAGCCACCATCCGTTTCGTGAGGATTTTTAAATCGAGTGCCCCGATATAGAACACATGTGGTTTTGTGCAACGTAAGGTTTTTCAAACATGCCTGCGCGCGGGCTCCTGAATGAGAAATGATTTCTCCCTAAACTTATTTGCAATCAGGCCAAGCGGTCCTCTCGCGCCGAAAGGCTAACTCATCCGAGCGCCCTTGCGCGCGTGCTGGCAGGGGGGGGGGGGGGGGGGGGGCGATCCGTGTCAAACTATATTATGCGGGCCACTCTCGCGCGTCGGCCGCGCGCGCATGTCGAACTCCCTCCAAAACCTTTATCGCCGACGCAAGGGCGCTGTCATCGTCGTCGGTATGATTAGCATCGGCGCCGTCATTGGCCTTGCTGTCGTCGTTGTCATCACCGTCACCAACATCGCTACCACCATCATCGTGTCTACCGTTGTCGACGTTGCCATGATACCGCGCCCGCCCAAGTCACCGACTCGTACTGAAATGCTCGCTGGGAGATGCCCAACGGTCAGCGCCACCTCGGCCACGTCGGTCGCGCCAAACTATCTGGCCGCTGCGCGCGCGAGCATGCCCGGGCTAGCGCGGCCGCAGAGATGCACCAGCCAACGCCAAGCACTCATCGCAATACCTGCCGCATGGGTTCTGCAAACCAAGTCGCGGGTGGCTGGGTGGGATGATTGCGCGGGCAATGTCGTGGACAACTCGCTGCGAACCGAAATTAATCACACCACATGGGTCGTACAACATATGTTGCAACATGCGTACTGTACCACATATATTGTTCCACATACTTTGCACAACATCCATTACTAGAAACGTACTGTTTGGGGTCCACGATTGCTAACGTGACGTACTGCATGCTTACTTCTTTTCGCTGGTACGGCTAGGCGTTCTGCAGGCCACTCTTTTTGCAACCTGCTCGTTCGCTGCTGCTTGCTGCTCTACGTTCTCCAGACCCCCTGGCCCTCCAAGACAGGTCAAACTCAGACCCTCTGGTTTGTCATGGAATTGAGACCACCGAGCGCGCGATCTCCCCAAGACCCAGAGCAGGCCGCCAGCCACTGCCCGACAGTGCCTTCTGAGGCTCACGCCGCCTCCCAAACATCCATCGCGACCCCTCGGTCGGCGCGGGAGACGCGTGCCCCTGGTCCGAACCCCTCCCGGGGGGGGGGTCGACTCTGCGCACCAGAGCGGGGGAGGGTAGCGCAGGAGCTCTTTCCTCTCCCCCTCCTCCACAATCGCCCAATCTGAATATTACCCTCCTCCCTCCTCTGACTCTGTCGGATGCTATTCCGCTCTCTCCGCGTGCCGCTTGCAAAAGATGTGATGAGGGTGATTTGTCTTGTGGTGCTTTACGTCCCGCTTGTTGACGGTATTTCAAAACTGCGTTCCCGCTACAGCGCGGGCCTCATTTGCGGATCGGCGCTTCGCTCCCGTCGTTCAAACTGGCGCTCTCGCCCAAGCGCGGGCCACCTTTCTGGATCCATGTTCCATCGGTGTCGTCTTCTCTGCCTTCATTTCTCTCCCCGCCTTCTCCTGGTGCTCGCCCCTTACAATCCACATCCTGCTGTCGCTATTCGTCCTCGTTTTCCTTCTTTCTCATCCTCCTGTTCATCCGCCACCTCCTCCAATGTACGTAGTTCCCTTTCTCTGATTGCGCATAACACGATGAGGTCCCCTTTCTAGTTCTAGGAACGCTATGACACGCGTCGGCTGATAGAGAAACACAGCGCAATGGGACAATCTGTGTAGGAGGGGTAGACTGTCAGACATGGCGCGAGCGCACCTAGGTTGCCCCCTCCCCCTCTCTCCACCTTTCTCCTCCGCCTCCTCCTCTTCCTCCCCATCGTCGTCGGCATCGTTTTCCTCGTCGTCCGCCAAAACCGTGGCCGCCCAGGATGCCCCGCAGAAGTCCCAGGACGTCGCGCAGGCAGTCCACGGCGCTTCCCAAGGACGAGCCTGGTGGCTCAAGGCGGGCCGCAGGATGGCCCAACAGAAACCCCAGGAGAGGCTCCAAGAGGAGCGACGGGGAGCCCCCAACATCACAATTCGCCCACTTTTTGGTTGAGGGGGGGGCTCCTCTGGTTCTTTGGCTGGAAACGGCTTCCGAAAGGTTTCGCGCGAGCACGAAGGGAGTCCCCGAGTGGCCCCAGAACATTGCAAGACGGCCCAACGGGGTCCCAGGTGGACCAGCGCCAGAAGTGGCCTCTGGGGGGGGCCACAAGGCAACCCAAGGGACTGCCAGTACAGCCCAAGACGGTCTGCCTCCAGAGGGCCCACGGCGCATCAAGAGGGCCCCAAGAGGTCCCAGGACGGCCGAAGGACCCCGCCAAACGCTGGAAGAAGGGCGCCAGAGAGGGCCCCCACGGAGAAGGCCGCAACGAGGGCCCCCAAGCGCTGAACGACTCACTGCAGAGCCGCGCCCTCCCCTGCTCCTCATTCTCCCCTTCTGCCATCCTTCATCACTCTCTCTCTCGCTCTCTCTCTCTCTCTCTTTTTCTGTTCTCTATCTCTCACCCACTCAATGGCGCTCTCTCTCTCTCTCTCTCTCTCTCCTCATGTGTACAGATATGCATATTCATATCTATATAAATATAGTTATAGACTCACACATATAAATACATTTATACACGCTCTCCCTTAATAACTGGTATATATGTATACAGATGTGCTCCGCTCTCTCCCCTCCTCTATCTCACTCTCACTCTCACTCTCTCTATCTCTCTCCCTTGCTCTCTCTCTCTCTCTCTCTTTCTCTCACTCTCTCCCTCTCATTCTCTCTCTCTCTCTACTTCTTTCTCTCTCTCTCTCTCTCACACTGTCCTTCTCTCTCTCTCTCTCGCCCATTTGCGTATATCCCGTCTCCTCATTATCGTCGTCGTCCCTTTCCATGCAACTCCCCGCGGCCGACTCGCTTGGGAAGCTCAACAGTAGCGGAACTATGCAGGAAGCAACCAGAACATTCGAAACACTCGAAAAGCAACATACCATGTGAGACAACTCCGGAGTGTCTTTGATAACTTCTCCTCCATACCTCCACCATGAGGTTGGAGCAGCCCAGCGTCCTTGGACAGCGCCGCCCCGCGGAAATGGTTGACGAACTCGGCGTAGGTACCACGCGCTTTGCCACCTCATCCTAACTCCTCCTGCTCCCTCCCTTGTCCTACGACTTATTAGCCCCAAGTGATAGACAGCAGGCTCTTAGAGGGCGGTCCACCTCTAAGAGCCTGCTGTCTATCACTAGGGGCTTCCTTCCTTCGCCATGCGCCACTCGCAAAGCTGAACTGCCCAGAAGCTACAGTGGTGGAGGGATGTAGTCGATTCCTCGAGATCGGCATGTCGCCTGGAGCTTCCTCAGATCTCATCGCCCTCGGGGGCATCATGGTCAACAGCCGCACGGGGGAAGGCGTGCCCTTCTCACCATCTGGCACCTATCGGGAAGGCAACCTTGCAGTTTAGGATCCCCGCGCCAGAGCTTGTCAACAACAGCACGGACGGATGGCGGCAATTTCCTGAACTTGCCAGTGACTGCACGGACGGATGTAACATCATGTGCTCTGGAGTGTGCAGCCACATGTTGAGATGACTTCGGATGGCCGTCGAAGGACACAAAAGGTGATCACTGTGAAGATCCAGTCTTTCTGGCGGGCGCTCGCGGTAATGAACAAACAATGATCGGCTTTTGAGGAGGGGCTCGGGATGAAATGATGCATTGCAGCGTGGTGAAATTTGCTGAGTTTACTCGGGTCCTCCTCCTCTTTCCTCCTCATCCTCGTATTTCCCTTCGTCGCTCTCCCCCCTCCGACGTAAGGACCTTCCCAAACCTCTCCGGGACCGGCCTAGAACCATCTAGATCTCCACAGAAATGTCCCCCGCGTCATCCTGACAAGAGAAGGGGGTCGAACGATCCTCCTGGCGCTGGTTGTCGTCGTCGTCGTCGTCGCCGTTTGCCGGCGCCAGGAAGAGGAGAAGGAGGAGGAGGAAGAGGAAGAGGAGGACGCCGACGATGACCACGGGTGGACGTTCAGTCGGACGTGCGGGACATTGAATGTAACCCCGACGAGTTGATGGGACAACACTGGGACAAAAAGAAGAGCAAGCCCAAGGCGGCGACGACGACGACGACGACCACGGGCGGGACGTTCAGTCGGGCGGGCGGGACATTCAATGTAACCCCGGCTGGTTGAAACGGAAACAATGTGCCAACAACCCGCCAGCCCGAGCGAACGTGTCCCGACTGTCGTCGTCGTTGTCTTCCTCCTCCTCCTCCTCCTCCTCCTCCTCCTCCTCCTCCTCCCCTCTCACCCTCCTCCTCCTCCTCCTCCTCCTGTTCTTCCTCCTCCTCCTTCTCCTGTTCCTCCTGTTCCTCCTGCTCCTCCTGTTCGTCCTGTTCCTCCTCCTCCTCCTCCTCCTCCTCCTCCTCCTCCTCCTCCTCCAGCGAAGCGGCCTGTGCGCCGCCCACACTCTCCCCGAGCTTCTCCTCGTTGGCGCCCCCCCCCCCGTCTCCTGACGTCGGGGCTCTTTTGGGGGGGAGGGCGGCTCGAAGCCTCCTCCGCCCCCCCCTCCGGCGACCACGGGACACCTGCGTCCTCCTCACCCTCCCCATCCTCCCTTCCTCCTCCCTTCCTCCTCCCCTCCTGCTCCTTCTGCTTCGCCTCCCTCCCGCCCGAGATGCTGTCGAAGGCCGCGTCTATGGCGCCATACTGCTCCTCACTGTCCAGCAGCGGGCCGGTGTCGACGTGCGGGAGGACCAGCGCGGCCACCTCTGGGTCCTGGCACGGCCGAGGGGCCCACGAGGCGAGGCGATCCTTCTCCTTCCCCCTCCTTGTCCTCACCGCCCTCCTTCTCACCCCCTCTACTCTCTCTCCCCCCCTTCTCCCCCTCCTACTTCCCTTCGACGTAGGCATCCGCTTCTCCCCCTCCTACTTCCCACCGCCCACCGCGATGCTGGGCCGACGGGGCGACTCACGGCGACGCAGTAGGAGCCGCAACTACCATAGGGCGCGGCCGCGGTCACGGAACTGTAGTCACCAGAGCACCCCGCCGCGGTCACGGAAAGCGACAGCCACCATAGGGTTGAGCGCTCCCACCGCGGGGGGAGCCACCATAGGACTCCCCACCCAAGAGAAGGGCTTCAATCGGCCCTGCTGCACCTGACCAGCTCACGTGCTGATCTTCTCTGTGTACATGTGTGCACTCTGTGGAGTGCGAGGACGTGGGAGGGGAAGGGAAGGGAAGGACACATTTTCATATTCGTTCAAAAAACCCACCACCAGTGACGTGGTACGTGCGGCGTCAGGGGGGGGGGTCGTACACCCACTCTCCCACCATAGGGGATGGTGCGAAATTTCTGTGTGCGGGACGGGATGGGCAACGAGGGACACCTTAGGTCCCCCACATTTGGAGGTATGGGCACCATACGCCTGGCCGATACCTCAGAGGAGGCAGCAAACGCCTAACCGACAATTTTGCGTCAAACGCTAAACCATAAAACTGCGTGCATTCATGGACTTCAGGGCCTCCTCATCTCCCTTCCCCTCCCCCTCCCCCTCCCCCTCCCCCTCCTCTTCGCCCTCCTCCTCCTCCTCCTCATCCCCCTTCCCCTCCACCTCTTCCTCCTCTCCTCATCTCCTCCTCCTCCTCCTCATCTCCTGCTCCTCCGCCTCCTCCTCTTCCTCTTCCTACCCTTCTCCATTTCACCCCTCCTCTTCCTCCTCTTTCTCTCCCCCTTGTCCTTCTCCTTCGCCTCTACCCTTTCCCCACTTTCCCTGAAGGGGGGTGGAATGAATAAAGAGGAGACTGGACAGCCCAACCTAGTGAACAAACACTTCCCCGCCTCCCTCCTCCTCCTCCTCCTCCTCCTCCTCCTCCTCCAGATCGCCCAAGATGACTTCCAGGATCGCTCACGATAGCTTACTCTGACTCCAAGATAAGTTCCATCGTGCTTTTGCAAGCCCTCAAGACCGCGCGCGGCTACGTATAAATGCCCTCCGAGTCCCCCAAGGAGGCCTCAAAGAGGCCAAAATCCTTCAAACCCTGGTCGATTTCAATGTGTTGACCCCCCGTTCTCGCCTTTTCGCTTCCGGTGGCCCCCCCAAAGCCTCCAAGAGGGCTACAAGAGACCCCCCCCAAAGGGCCCCAATCGACCCCCAAGAGCGCTCCAATAAGGCCCCAGAGGCTTCCAAAACGGCCACACAGGGGTTTCAAGATGACCCCAAGAGGCCTCCAACAAGCACCCAGAGCAAAAGACCCGCACAGGCTTCGATGGTTGATTCCTGTCGTCGTCGTCGCCGTCGCCGTCGCCGTCGTCGTCGTCGTCGTCGTCGATATCTCTTTCTTCGTTCCCCTTCCTACTCGTTCACCTCTTCCTCTTCTTGTTTCTCCTCCTCTTGCTCCTGTTCCTCCTCCTCCTCCTCCTCATCATCATCAACATCATCATCAAACTTCTGAATCCTCTTTTCCTCTTCAGCCCTTTCATGTTCCGCTTTCTCCTCCTCCCCCGGGGCCGCGAAGGTGGGAGCTGGGCAGCGCAACGTGAGTGGGGACTGGGCTGCCCATGCTCTCGTCCGTTTCCTCCTCTTCCTCTTCCTCCTCCTCCTCCTCCTCCTCCTCCTCCTCCTCCTCCTCCTCCTCCTCCTCCCCCTCCTCCCCCTTTTCCTCCTCCTTCTCCTCCTCCTGCTCCTCCTCCTCCTCCTTCGCCTCCTTCTCCTCCTCCTCCTCTTTCCATAGGTGACGGCTGCTCTCCTCTTGGTTCCTCTGCGTGCTCCAACACGTCCCTGAGCAGGGCAAATCGGGAGGTCACAGTTTCTTCTTGCCAGGCGATGCCACAGAGTGTTCGGTGTCAGATGCACAGCAGGATGTCCGCAAGGACGTGCATCACACGAAGTCCGTCTACAGCCATACCGCAGGACGTCTCGACACACATCTGCCTCAGGACGTCCCGCTGCACACGTGCCAGACGACATACGGGGACACAGATGCCACGGGGCATGTGGCGGGCTCCGGGAACTGTTCCAAGAACATTTCGTGGAACTGCTCTAAAATGTTGCCATCTCTTAGGGGCTCTCGAACCGTTCTAAGAGCACTTCGTGGAACTGTTCTGAGATGCTCCAGAAACTGTTCTGAGAACATTTCGTGGAACTGTTCTAAGATGTTCCAGAACCTGTTCTAAGAACATTTCGTGGAACTGTTCTAAGATGCTCCAAAAACTGCGCTAAGAACATTTCGTGGAACTGTTCTCTACGAAGTGTTCCGTGGACCCAGACATTGCTGCCATCTCTCAGGGGCGTATCGCCGGCCCTCCGCTCAGGGATCCACCCTCGTTTGAAGTTCCGCCGCCCTCCGCCGGGGAAGAGAGGCCGACTGCCTCGACCCTCAATGGGCGAGGCCCTCTCTGGAGTGCCCTGTATGACAGCAGTTGCGCCACAGAAGGTATGGATGCCCACATCCTCCTCCTCGTCCCCCTCCTCCTCGGCCTCCTCTTCTGCTTCCTCTTCGTTGCCTCTTCTTTTCAAATGTATCGGCTTCCTCAGTTTCCTCTGCTTTCTCTGCTTCCTCAGCCTCCTCTGTTCAAAGATATCGGCTTCCCCGTCTGCGCCCCAATGCGTGCTCCTTCGCTTCCTTGATCAAAGCAGGCCGCCTGACCAAGGTATACCGCACGGGAAGGCCAGCGAAAACCCACATCCCACCCCACGCGACACATGTGCACACGTTTCCCACGTGACGCACGGACTCAAATCCCACCAGCCCTCTGGACGTGAGCGGCTTAAGGAGCTCGTTCTGCCAACCCCCCCTCTTTCCCTTCGGAGACGTGGACTCCCCTGTCCCCATCCCCCCTCACTCCGGGTCTGGAGGGGGCGTTCCGCGAGGGGGTGCAGCGCGCAAGATGGCTCATGATGGCGCCACGATGATCACAGATAGCCCAAGATGGCCTCCAAGATCGCTGAAGACAGCCAAATATGGTTCACGACAGCCTCCGACATGTCTAAAACAGCCTCCAATGTCGCTTCAATGCGTCTCTAAGCGGCAACGGAGCTTTCTAAAGAGTCCGCCGAGGAAGGAAATCAATGGCCTTTGCCCTCTCGCCTTTTCGCTTTCGATGGGATCTTGAGGCCTCAGGACGGCTCGACAGAAGGAGCGGTCATGCGATTCTGCAGGGAGGTGACGGGGCCCTCGCTGCGAGAAGGCGATGCAAGAAGGGATGCGAGAGCAGAGTAGTGCTGACGAGGCCGTGGGCCCGGAGTTGTTCGACTGGCCCACCGACGGCCCACATCGAGGCTCACAACATCCTCCCCAGCGTGCTCCGGTTTCGCGGTGTGCACCGCTCGATGCCAACAGCCCATACCGATTGTGCCCAGACCACCTTGCCCAACCGCCGCTCCAACCGCGGCGGCATGCCGAACTCAAGTCAACATGCCCGGAGGCCGGCGTGCGCTGGGGAGCATTGCTCCCCCGGCCTGTGCGCGCTCGTGCCACCGTGCCAGAGGCCCATCTGAGGCGGTTCGAGCGAGGCACTGTCTGCATCCTCCTCTTCGTCATGAACTCGTCCCTGTCGCACCCCCCGACATGTCGTTAGGGCAGGCGAGGCGTTGAGACTTCATCACCACTCGTGACCCTGAAGCCTGAAATTCGCAATCGTTTCACGGAAGAAGGGGGGTGGTTTTCAAAATGCCTTTCTCGCTTAGGCGCCACGCACTTTCGTTTTCAAAGTTTGCACATCGGCGGTGGACAAACCTCCCCTTAGAAAACCACAATTTAGTGAAAACGGCCTAGGACCGAAACCGACGGACCTGGAACCGCAAAAATGACGGCCGCGACGCCCTCTCGCGAACCGAGAACTGCCAATTCGCTAATCGACGTGTCAGGGTAGGAGGTCTATCAATTTCCGAACAAAACTCACAGATGGATGGTGCTTCATTAGCAGACTGTGGTTCTCGTCGTAGCGCCGCGCTCCGGTGGGACGACGAAATGTTGCAAGTTGCTCCTGGCCGCGTACGGCCGCGCCTACATTGCGACGCCACCTCGACAAAGCGCCCCCGCCTCCTAAATTTCAATGTTGGCATCGAGCGAGCACCCCAAGTCCGGGAGGACAAAATAATGCAAGTCAACATTGAAATACGAGGGAAGGGGAGCTCCTCGGATATCGATGGAATATGATCAAAATTGTCATCTTGTTTCTCGGAACGATCATATAACTTGCGATATTTTGTCCGCCCACTGTCATTCGTCTCAAAGGTGCGCAACAGTTTTACGGATGGAGGGGAGGTTCTTGTCAAAATGTGGTTCTCGCGTGGGCGCTGCGCACATTCGTCTTTAAATCTTGCACAGATTTCACAGATGTAGAGGGGACGTTTTCAAATGCTGGCTCTCGCCTTAGCGCCGCGCGCATTCGTCCCAACACATTGCAGCACTGTCAAAAATGGTACGGGGGTAACTTTCAACATTGTGCTCTCGCCTTAGCGCCGCGCACGTTCGCTGTAAACATTTGCGTTAGCATCACGGGTAGAAAACGGTTCCTTTTCAAAACGGCGCCCGCCTTAGCGGCGTGAGCACTTGGCGTTTTCAAAATTGGGCTCTCGCTTCAGCGCCGCGCCTATGCTTTTTCCAATGCGAAGGTTAACATAATGGAGAACTGCTCTTTGTCAAAATGGAATTATCCACTGCCAACTCGGCAAGTTTACAAGCCCCAAACTTCGACGCCCGTAGCGCTGCACGGATCCATGCCGATTACTTTTGAAAATGGAGCTGTCAGCTGGGACTTCCTCGAAGTTCATGACAACGAATGTAAGCTTGTGGTACCATTACACGGATAGGGTTTGGGCGGCCCTTCTTCGAAAGGGCAATATCGCTGGACACCTCGTCGAATGGTCTGATCATTGTCCGTCGAATTTCTTGGCTACGCGCCAATACGATCCAAGGCAATTCCTTTTCAACGTGGGGCCCTCGCCCAAATGGCAGACCCAACTGTGCTGGTCTTTCAAGGTGGGGGGGCGCTTCCTGTAGTGACTCGGGGGACTTGCAGGGGACGTGTGAGGAGTGGGCTTGGGACGGGAGGGTGCATTGCAACATCGTTTATGCATGTTTGGTTCACGCTGGTCTACTTCTCCCTTCTCTCTCCCCCTTAGGGCCGCTATTGGCAAGCTGCGTCTTCCAGGTCTCAATGCTGTCCTGGCATCTCTATCGCCTGTCTCTCTCTCTCTCTCTCTGTCTTTGCCTCTCTCTCTCTCTCGCCCTCTCTCGCTCTCTCTCCCTCTCTCGCCCTCGTTCCTCTTTCCTCAGCCTCCCGTTCCGCTCCTTCCCCTGCCAGACACCTACGCGCTCGATGGTCCCTGGGGGTCCAACGATTTGGGCGTTCCTCATTCCTGAACGATTTGTAGGTGTATCCGCCACCCTGCCTGCGCCGAATGGGCGTGTTTGAGTGCTCCTGTGGTCCATCTGGGAATGTTTTTATTGTTTTCTAGGGCGAACCTCCCGCATCGCACGCGCACGCGTTGACCGCCTCCCCTCTGAATTGCTTCCCGGCGCTCTTTTTCACCTCCAGACGGCTAAGATGACCTCTAAGACGGCTTCCGCGACAACCGCGATGACACCAAAATGGCTCAAGATGCCCAAGACAACTCAAGACCATCTCAAGACAGCCTCAGGACGGCCTAAGAGGCCCTCAAGACGGCTCAAGAGGGCTCCAAGAGGGCCCCCAAGACGGCCCAAAAAGCTCCACGAGGCGCTCCAGGAGAGCCCGAGGGAGCAAAAACCATAGATGTTCCTAAAGTTTTGGGGAAAGTTTGAGATTCTCCCCTGTTCGGGTTTCCGACCGCCCAAGACGGCCTCCAAGAGGCCTCCAAGACAGCCCAAGAGGCCCCCAAGAGGGCCCCAATTCGGCCCAAGAGGACCTAAAGATCGCCCGAGGGGATCCCAAGAGGGCCCCAAGACGGCCTTGAAGCGCTCCAAGAAAGCCACAAGACGGCCCAGAAAGGCCTCTTGGGCTGTCTTGGGCGGTCGGGAACCCAAACGTACCACAACCTCAGAATCCTTCAAGAACCAAAGACACATCAATAGCTTTGGCCCGTCTTTTTTGTTGTTGCACCAGTGATCGCGGCGGGAGGCTGAGGAGACACCTTAATCGTTATGACGATTGCCCCAAAACTGAAAGCAAGCATGCACGGGGCGTGCGCGATACTGCAGCATTCCGACTTACAAATTCCCAAGTTGCGATTCGCAAATTCCATGCTGCACTTACTCTGTATGACCAACAGGATCGCCGAGAGTTCAGTTGTATCCGGTAGATGGCGATCGGGGTGCTCGTGGTGGAAATTGTTGCACCAGTGATCGCGACTGGCGGCTCAAGAGACACTTACACACTGTGGCGATTGCCCTAAAACTGGAGACCTCTTGGGCTGTCTTGGGGGCCTCTTGATCTGTCTTGAGACCTTCTTGTGAGCCAGGAGACCCACAAGAGGGTCTCAAGTCGACCCAAAACGGTCGAAAGGTTGCCCAAGGGGCTCCCAAGAAGGCCCCAAGACGGCAGTGAACCGCTCCAAGAGGGCACCAGCACTGCCTAGAGAGGCCTCCAAGGCGGCCTCCCTTAGGCGTCAGACGGGACAAGAGTTCCCTAGGATGGCCCCCGAGGCTTCTAAGAGGTCCCAAGAGGCCCTCAAGAGGCCCCCAAGAAGCTTTCAGGAAGCTCCCACGACGCTCCCAGGAGGCCCGAAGAAGACCCTGAGGATTTCCCTCCCCACATTTTCTCCCTCTCCTCCTCCTCCTCCTCCTCCTCCTCCTCCTCCTCCTCCTCCTCCTCCTATGTTTTTTCTTCCTCCCTACCGCACGGACGAAGACGAGGCCGGGATCACGACCCGTCCCAGTGCAGACTACCCGTCGGAATTGAGCTGTTCCTGCACTCAGCCTCCTTCTTGTTGCGTTGTTGCGCAGGCACGGTGGCGGGGTTTGCCGCGGGCAGCTGGATAGCGGGAGCGTCTGTGAGCGCACTCTGCTGACCTAAGGCGTGCACTCGCGCAGTCCTCGGTTCAACCAACGAACCCACCCTCCCACTCCTCCTCCTCCTCCTCCTGTTTTCCGTCTCTCCCCCCTTCTCCCAGCCCCCCGCCCCCTTCTCCTGCTCCTCCTCCTGCTCTCCGACTCCGCTCTCCGATATCCCCTTCCGCTCCCCCCTCAATCCTCCAAAAGAAGAGCACATGACGAATAGAGGAAAATAGTGCCCCTCTGCAATGATTAATCACGCCTGTCCTTATTCATGGCGGCGATGAAGCCAGTGAACTCCAGCCTGGAGATCGAGCCACTGCCGTCCGCATCGATACGTGACCAGATGTCTTTCAGAATGCCGACGTCGGTGTCCTCGTACGCTGATGATCGGGCAACACACAATACAGGCACACGCTCTTGGTGCATGTCAACTCTGGAGACGCAAGGTGACATACTTATATGTGCATGTGAATGCATGTATGTATACCTATACGACCACCCTTCGGGTGATAAGGAGGTTGTGGGGGGGGGGAGAGGGAGGGGACCAACATCTGGCCCAATCGATCTAACTATCGATTTCACTCAACGGGACACCACGGGAAACTACGGGAAACTTGTCGATCTCACTATCGATCTCACAATCGATCTCACTCAACGGGACACCACGGGACACCACGGGCCACCATGGGACACCACGGGACACCGCGGGACACCTCTCGATCTCACGATCGGTCTCCCTATCGATCTCACTATCGATCTCACTCAACGGGACACCACAGGACACCACGGGACACCTCGGAACACCACATCGATCTCACTATCGATCTCACTATCGATCTCACTCAACGGGACACCACGGGACACCACGGGACACCTGTCAATCTCAATATCGATCTCACTTCTTGGGACACCATGAGCTACCACGGGACACCGCGGAACACCGCGAGCCACCGCCGGACGGACGGACGGACGGGCGGGCGGGGGAGAACCATGTGTCTTGACTTCACCCTAGCAGCGGCGGGTTCATTCCTCTCGCACGCCCACGCAACTTCGCCTCGCCTGCACGCTCGACACGAACGAAACGAAACTATTTCCCGGTTGGGGGTCTCCGTTCCAGTGCGATCTCAACCCCCAACCTCCGATACCTATACGACCACCCTTCGGGTGATAAGGAGATTGTGGTGGGGGGGGGAAAGGGGGGGAACCAACGTCTGACTCGATCGATCTCACTATCGATCTCACTCAACGGGACGCCACGGGACGCCACGGGACACCACGGGACACTTGTCGATCTCACTATCGATCTCACTATCGATCTCACTCGACGGGACACCACGGGACACCACGGGCCACCACGGGACACCACGGGACACCGCGGGACACCTGTCGATCTCACGATCGGTCTCACTATCGATCTCACTATCGATCTCACTCAACGGGACATCATAGGACACCACGGGACACCTCGGGACACCTCATCGATCTCACTATCGATCTCACTATCAACAAGGGTCTCGGATCCCCAAGAGCATGGCGCCTTCGTCTCGTAAAGGTACTGCGAGCAGACAACTAGGGTGGCGTTGAGCATCTCGATGTCACGCGCGACGTCGTCGGGGCGGGGCAAACCTCGACTCTGGAGTCACAGGCTCCACTTGTCGAGCATGATGATATACCGACGGGCAGCGGCGGACTTGACTGCCACTCGGAGGTCCCGCCTGGCCCGCGCGGCCGCGCGCCGCTGCGCCTGGGCGCGCGGGTGGGCCTTCTCCAGGAAATCCAAGCCAGCTGCAGAATCTCCCCAGGAGCAGTGGCAGTTCGGCGAGCGAAAACGCACGTCGAACTGCGCAGGCACCGCGTCGCACTCCTCGCTGGAGTACTCTGCCGCCACCTCTGTCAGGCGCCGCCAGACGCCGTCCCCGCACTTGATGCTGCCCTCCATGACGAGGTGCTGGTGGCTGCGGTCGCACCGCCTTGCCAGCGGGGGCAGGAACGCCCGCCGCCCCTCCCAATTGGTGGCGTCGCGGCAACGACTGCCCCGCACGCGCCAGTCTATGGCGCGCTCGTGGAGCGGCCCCGCGCTGAGCGCCCCATGGAGCTCCGGAAATGTCCGCCGAAAGGATTGTCGAGGCTGCTCCCGCGCCCACAGGGCGCCTGCGCGGCCGAAGGCCCGCGCGAGATCCACCCCAGCTCCCGCGCACTTGTTGCCTGGGACATTCCCGGGGCGTTGCCGCCGCCCCCGTGGCCGCTGGCGGGCCCGCGAGAACCGCGAGCACAAGTTCACGAATCGCGAGAAGGTGTCGCAAGGGGGGCCCTGGGCGGCCGCCGTCGGCCTGATCCTCACGATGAACTCGATCTCCTGGGCGAGCACGTGGGGGTCGGTGAGGTCCTCGAGAGGGCCGCGCTGCACGTCGCGGTTGATGGCGATCCAGCCGCGGCGCTCCAGGGCTGCGCTGAGCGGGGCCTTCGGCCCGCTGAGAGCGTCGTAGAAGACGGTCGGCGGCCAAAGACCGAGCGGTGCGTGCTCGCGGCCCAGCTCCAGAGCTTCTCGACTGCGGCAATCGACTCCACCGCCTCGGGAGGGCGCGGCCTGGTCAAATGCATCTCAGCACCTCTCGTTGGGTCACCCGCAGGATCGCGGGCATTCCGCGCCGAGAAGAAAGGAGGGAGCACCCTGCGAACAGCAATAGCGGGAGAGCCATGGCGAATCTCGCGTTAATGACCCTGCTAGACTATCGTCCACGGACGGCAATGCCATGCGCAACCTGTGAGTCGACCATCACTGGGATGCGTTCACCATGCATGCTTGGGCCTTCGACCGCACACTTGGCCAGCGATCGAAAGGCGACGGCCTCTGGCGCATAGGACGTCGGCAGGGCTGTCAATTGTTTGGGTCCTATCTAGGATTGGGGCGGGGGGCCGTCTCGGTTTCCACCCCCCAGGATCTCGAGTGGCTCGTTGGGATTTGGGGGCCCGCGAGGTTTGGGCATCGCCTCGCCTGTCCGTCGAGGAGCCCGTGTCCAGAGCCAGACCGCCCCCTCCACGTTGAACAGGGCCGACGCGACTCCGCCGACGAAGAGGGCGACGTCCGAGGCGAGGACCTGCTCAGTCACCGCGGAGTCGAGCGAGCTCCTGAGCAATGGGAACAGGAAGACCAGCCCCATCAGCTCGTGGATCATTGGATTCGGCAGTCGGCGCCACGCCGTGTGTCCACTTCGGACACGTGAAACCACGCGTAGAGCTTGTCCACGAGACGCATGGCGGCCCGGCGAAAATCAGACTGTGAATCTGGCATCCGACCAGCCTCCTTATGAGAGCGACCGATGCGGCCCCGACGAGGATGACGCGCCCGGCGATCACTTCGAGCTGCCTGGCTATCTCCGCCGCCCCGCCTACATCGAGACGCGCTGAAGGGACCCCCCCCAGACGACCCCGTTGGGCTGGTCTAGGGCTGCCTTCTCCTCCTTCCTTTTGATGCCTGCGTGATCGCCTGCCCGGTGCCCTGGAAGAACCCGCTGCAGAGCTGGCCGCCGCATCGGGTCCGAGGCGTCGGGGCCGTCGCAGCGGCCAATGATCGCGCGGTCGCCCGAGTAGACGCCCTCCGCGACTCGATCTGAAGGGGGGCCCGACCATGGGTGAGCCACCGCCCGTCACGGAGGCACCCTGCAGAACGCAGGCAATCTTGATGCTCGACCTGGGCCGCCTCCGAGGCCTTCTTGCCCCGCGCGGCAGGAGCAGCCCATGCCGGAGCGATCCTGTCGCGACCGCGCCGGCGGAGGTAGTCCACCTGGAAGGCCCCTGCCGCGGCAGCTCCCTGGCCCAAGCCGAGGGTGGCGTCCTCGGCCCCGGCGCCATGCCACTGCGGGAGGTAGTAGATGTCCTCGGCATCGTCCGCGGAGATCGACGAGCGCCCGCCCTTCGGGAGGGGTGGCGCTGCGATCTGCGAGGCGCGGGGCAGGGTGGCGAGACGCTCGAGGCAGGCGGCGTCGACTGCCGGGGAGCTCTGCGGCAAAGGCATTCTCGCGAAGGACCTCTCTCAGAGACTTCGCGAGTGCATTGCGGCAGCGCCTGTCAATGATCGCCCTCGGCCTGCGGTCGCCCTTCTTCCCTGCGCCGACGAGCCCGGCGCGGGCGGGGGCGCCCGCGCGCAGTTGGAGGCCCCCTTGGCGTGCGAGCCGCGAAAGCCGAGCATCCCATGCACGTGCCGCCGCCGCGGCCCCGTGACCCGCGCGCGCGCGTGGGGGGCAGCTGATTGGGAGGGCGACTTGGCTCGAGGTCAAAGACGCGGGGCGCGCGGAAGAAGATGCCGCAGTCGAGCGACGCGACTGGCTCTGGGAGCGAGATCGTCGCGCTGCTGGACGGGGCGCTGAGGTTGTTCGCGGTGAAGGCGAGAGGCTCCGCAGACTGTGCGCGTTGATTTGGTGAACTTCGCTCTTTTTGCACGCGGCCCGCCGGCCTCGTCCTGCATCTCCCCCGACGAGGGGGTCTCCAACTTCGCCCCGACGGGGCATCTTGCCCCCCTGCCTTGTCCGGAGCTGCTCGCGCCCTGCGGGCTTCCCAACGAGTGCCGCGAGAGTGGAGCTGCGCCGCGGTCGCCGAAGAGACGCGCGCGGCGGCGTCGGGAGAGGCGTCGGCGGCGCCGAGTTAACGCGTCCGTCGCCAATCTCAACCGGCTCTCGCTGGGGCGCCCCGCGGGCGGGTCCGCGGCGCCCTGCCTCGCCGCGCCTTCGACCGAGAGACAATGGTGGCAGCTGTTGCGTCAGCTTGATGACAAGTATTATGGTTGTTGCCGCGTCGAGGAGTCAAGGCCGCTCGGAATCGCTAGCAGTGGCGACGAAGGCCGATCCCTGAGGTGGCCCCCCTCGGTGTTTCTATAAGCTGTCGAACCCCCCCCACCTGGAGACAATCGCTCGCCTCCCCGGCCGCCTCCGCCGCCGCCCTGCTCCTCTTCCTGGTCAACTTGTTCGACTTCTTGTCCCGGGTGCGGTCCTTGCCGGCGCGGCCCGTGGTGGCGCCCCCCGCCTCCCCTCTCGGGGGCGCTTTCGAATGCCTCTGGCTCCAGTGAGTAGGCGGCCGAGGCTGCGAAGTCGGCGGGGCGCGCCAGGGCCCCCTCTGCCTGGCGCGCTCTGGGCCGGGGCCCTGGGGGCCCAGTTATCGGCGAGGCCGGCCTCCAGGAACCGCTCGCGTTCACTGACTACTGCGTGGCCTTCAGAAACTGGCTGATCCGGGCGCCGAGGAAGTCGCGCCGCCGAAACCTTCGCGGCGCGTGGAGCGACGCAATCGCGTCCCAGAAGCGCCCGTGAACCTCGAGGCGCCCGAATTTGATCCTCTGCCCGCCGTTGGGCGTCGCGCCCCGCGGCGTGCATGTGGCGTCGCGCCCGAGCTCGGTGATGGACGCGGTGTCGACGCGGGCCGACCGCCTATGCGGTTCGCGCTCGATGGCCCCGCTGAGCGCCGGGAGCCCCGTTGCCCCCCTGGCGCCGCTGATCCTGGCCACTGGGCCCGCCTCTCCTGAGCTCGAGGCTGCGCCCCCGAAGGGGGAATCGCCCAGGGTGGGCTCGTCTTCCTCCGGCTTCTTGGGGCCGCCGATCCTTTCCAGCGCCTGCGGCGTCGCGAGCTGGATGGCCATGCCTGCGTCGCGGCCGCCTGCCTCGACGAGGGCCCCGAGGTCGAAGTCGGCCCATCCCTGGGGCCGCGCGGCTTCCTTGCTCGCGCGGAGGAGGCCCGTCGGCTCGCTGGAGCGGCCCCCGAGCCACCGCTAGGGCCTCCTCGGCCCTGGACTGGGGAGGGCGTCGGGGCGGGCAGCGCCCCCGGAAGCTGGGCCACTGTCCTGGGCGGCGCTGCGGGCGAGCTCTGGGATGGGGTCTGCGCGGGGCGGGGGGGCAGGCGCCGGCGCGCTCGCGGATGGCCCCGCCCGAAGGGGCGACCCCGGGGCGGCGGCGGCGCTGGGGCCCGCGGGGGCGAGGCCACGGGCCCCCGCGCCCCCCTTCTCGACCTGCTCGATTCGGCTCGAAGAGCCCCTCAGATGGCCGCCCAGCAGCTCGCGTTCGCAGCAGCTCCAGTGGGCGCTTTGCAGATCGTCCTGCGACGCGTTGGCGCGCCGAGGGGCCGCGGCCTTCTGGCGCTGCTCGCCGCGGGCCCCTGCCTCGCAACGCGCCCTGCGCGCCCCCCCTGCGTCGGGGGGGGCGCCGTGCGCGGGCCTTTCCCTGGGCGCGGCCGGCGGCGGCGTCGCCTGTTGAGGGGGGGGCGCCTGGCGGGCGGGGTCATGGGCCCCCCTGGGCCCGCCAAGAATCCATTTCACTCCGCGCCCGGGCTGTCCGCCGCGTAGGCGCCGCGCGGCCGACCTGCCCACTCCTGCGCCTCGCGGGCTGCGTCGACTTCGTCGTCTCCCATGCCCTTGCCGCTGTGCTCGTCGGCGGTGAGGTACCTTTCCCTGTCGATCTGCCCGTCGGCGGACAGCTGGAAGCCGGCGCGCCCGTGGTCGCCCCAGGGAGCGGTCGGGGAGCGCGACGGGTCGGAGCACGATCCCGATGTTCCACTCGTCGGGCTGCGGGGCGAAATCGGCCAGCTCGAGCAGGTCCGGCCGAGCAGGCCCGCCAGCTGAGTCGAAGAGCTCGATCGCTTCGTCCTCCGCGCAGCTCTCGGCGAGTCTCGCCAGGAACGCGTCTCGCCAGGAACGCGGGCGAGACCTTCCTGCGGGCCAGGCCGCGTCCAGCGTCACCGAAACATAGCCTACGGAGGCGAGCGAGCCAGCGTTATGGCGAACGGCGGGCACCGCGATGAGGAGCTCCTCGAGCTCGAGGTCGCCGAGGGCGTCTTGGAACAGGGTTTCAACGGCGACGGGGCCATCGTGTCTCGCGAACTTGGTGCCGATGGCGCGGGCCTCGCACCGTGCCGCCGTGCCGGCGGCTCCGGCCCTGGCTATGGGCAGCCCGGGCAGCCGCGAGCGGAACGCCCCAGATGGCAGCGTCGTCTTTGTACCCTGGTCCAATCGAATACCTTGACAATGCATGAATAGCCCCGCTGCTCGTCGAGGAACCTGTCCATTGCCTCGCCCAACGGCGGGAACCGACGCAGGCGATCCCGCCCGCTACTGTACTTGCCGTCCCCGAGTCTGGCGACGATCGCCTGCCACGAGACCGTGCCTCCTCAGTGCACCCCGACGTAGTCTTCGCTAGAACCCGGGGCGGCCCAGATTGCGTAGCAGTGGATGCCACCGGCAAGGGCGGCCCGAGCCGTAGTTGCGGCACCTGTCGCCCATATGGGCAGCCCGCGATGGGTGCTGTCTGGGATGACGACCCAAGGGGCCCCCTGTGGGTCCTCCGCCGCCTCTGGCGCGGCCTCCTCGCCGCTTGGAATGAGCTTTGAATGGGCCTCGAATCCACGGGCAGGCTCGTGGACCGCTCGCGCTCTGGCCAGGGGCCCTCCACGCATCAAACGCGGGCGCGCCCGGCGCGCAGCGCGGGGCGGGCTCGGTCCGAGAAACGTGTGGTCATCATCATCATTATCATCATCATCATCATCATCATCATCATCATCATCATCGTCATCATCATCATCATCATCATCATCACCACCATCATCATCATCAGCATCATCATCATCAGTATCAACATCTTCATCATCATCCTCATCCTCATCATGGACATCATCACCATCATCATCATCATCGCCATCACGACCATCACCATCACAACCATCATCATCACCACCAGTATCATCATCACCATCATCATCAGTATCATCGTCATCACACCCAGCATTTTCATAATCCTCATCATCCTCATCACGGCTCTCCCAAGCCTGGAAACACGAGGTGTCACACGTGACAGCATCCCGCGCCCCCTCGAACAGTCGCCACCCAGAATGCTGGGCTGCACGGCGGCGGGAGTCGCCTGCTTCTAAACTTGTATGTGTACGCGTTTGCTTGCTCATGTGCATAGATGATTGCCTGCTTTTACGCGTGCTTGCAAGTCTGCTTGCGTACGTTATCGCGTGCTAGCGTGCGAGCTTCCAAGCTGATCAGCATGCGTGCGTTCGCGCGCGTGCTTGCTAGAATGCGTTGCTGGCTGCGTGCTTGCACTGTTGATTTGTTTCTCGTTTGCTTGCTTGCTTGCTTGACTGTCTGCTTGCACGCAATGTGGAACAATGTGCTGAAAACGGACGTGGCCAGGCACGGCGAAGCACGGGAAAACTGAACAGGGAATTCCCAAGTCCTGTTCCCCTCCTCTCCGGCATGCGGGTGGAGCAGCCCCACGTCCTTGGATGGCGCTGCCCCGCGGAAGTGGTAGACGAACTCCGCGTAGCTGCCGCGCGACTTGCCGCCTCTGAATCCTTCGTCCCTCCTCCCTGATCCCGTTGCTCTTCTTCCACGTCCTCCTCCTCCTCCTCCTCCTCCGCATCCTCCTCCATTCGTTTCCCTTATCAATAACTCCTCTCTATCGCGCCACAAAACGTTTTGGCAGGGCGGGCCAGGCGTTTCGCCAGAGACTTCCTCGCCATGTAGGGTCCTGGAGTTTGAAATTTGCAACAGCTTCATCGATGGAAGGCGGGCCGTGTTCAAAATGTTGCTGTCGCCTTTACGCCGCGCGCATTACGCCCCGCGCGGTTCTTTGATATATATATATATATATATAAATGTATATAAATGTATGTAAAAAGAGTCCGTGGCTCTCGCCTTAGTGCTTGAGTGCTCGCGCACATTCGTCTTAAACATTTGCAGCAGCTTCACGGATTGATGGCAGGTCATGTTCAAAATGTAGCTCTCGCCTGAGCACCGAGCGCAGTGATTTCAAACGTTTGCATAGCTTCACGGATAAGGGCGGCTTCTTTTTGAACATGTGGGTTTCGCCTTAGCGCCGGAGTTCGTCCCAAGGTGTATCGCAGTTTCGACAATCCGTATGGCCAAAGTCCCAAGAATTGTGTTCTGGTATGATGGAGGAATGACAGGAGGCACCAGCAGCACTGATTCGTTGTGTTGAATTCCTAGAAACGGCGTTCTGGAAATATCCAGAAATGTCAACACGCAACAATCATGTTGATTCGATTCGCGGCGTGGAAGCCGCAGAAACTGCGTTTGGGCACGATTGATGATTCTCAACAGATTGTTCCCAACCATCCTGTGGAGTTGGGTCCTCGTTTTGAAGAGACAGCGCCCGGCGTTTCCTCCTTCTTCCTCCCTCTTCCCCTCCTCTCATCATCATCGTCATCATCGCCATCATCGTCGTCATCATCATCATCAACGTCAGCATCATCAACATCATCACATGTCTCGTTGCCCCATAGGGAGCCCCACCGAAGGTCCCAATGGCGCGGTTGGCATGCGTCTCCCCCCCCAGTACAGCGTTAAGGTCCCCGTGGCGCAATCCGCATGCATCTCCCCCACCCCGGCGCGGCGTTTCGTGGCCCCATAGGGGCTCCGCCGAAGGTCCCGGTGGCGCGGTCCGCGTGCGTCCCCGCCAGTCATTTCGGCGCACCCCTCACACGTTTCGTGGTCCCATAGGAGCTCCGCCGAAGGTCCCAGTGGCACAGCCCGCACGCGTCCCCGCTACTCATTTCGGCACACCCATCACACGTTTCGTGGCCCCGTAGGAGCTCCTCCGAAGGTCTCAGAAGCTCTCAGAAACTTTCAGAAACTCTCAGAATCTCTCATAATATCTCAGAAGGCCTCAGAATCTACTCAGAATCTGTCAGAATCATTCATAATCTCTTAAAAGCTGTCAGAATCTCTCATAATCTCTCAGAGGCTTTTAGTATCTCTCAGAATCTCTCAGACCCTCTCAGAATCTCTCAGAATCTTCCAAAATCTTTCTGAATCTTTCAGGATCTCTCAGAATTTTTCGGAACCTCACAATCTGTCAGCGTCTCTCAGAATCTATCAAATGCCAGAAAAAATGCCCTGGAGCGGTTGGGATCTCCCCCGTCCATGCTGTGCTTGGCGGTTGTGATCTGACCCGTTCCGTTGGGATCTCACCCGGCCAGTTGTGATCTGAGACTTTCTCGCCCGGGCCCTGCTTGGGCGGCTCTGGGCGTGTCGGGGCTCTCTTGGGCCGTTTTGGGGGCCTTGTGGGCCGTTTTGGAGCGGTTTGGGGAGCCTCTTGGGCGGTGTTTTAGCGCCAGAAACACGAAACAGGGAGAATGCAAAATACATTGAAAAAGCGAATTGACATCAAAGATTTTGCCCTCTCGGGGCGCTCTTGGGCGGCATCTTGAAGGCCCCTTGGGGCGTTTCGGGTGGTTCTGGGGCAATTTAAAACGCATCGTGCGTCGCCAGAGACCCCTGGACGGCGTCTTGGGGGTGTCTTGCGGTCGAGGTTCCGGCCCTCGGCCCCCGGGCCCGGTGCGCCGTTATATGTATAAACCAGGAGTTGATCTGAACCAGATCCACATGCCTCCTCCCTCCTCCCTCCTACCTCCTCCCTACCTCAACCTTCGTCTCTCGTCCCTCCCTCCCTCCTTCCCTCCTTCCCTCCTGTCATCCTAATTACTATCATCATCATTATTATCATTACGAGTGATGATGATGATTATTATTATTCTTCTTATTATTATTCGTATTATTATTATCATTATCATCATCATTATCCTTATCATTATCAGTATCAGTATCATTATAACCATTATTATCATTGATATTACTACTATTATTCCTAATAATAATGATTATTATGATTATCATCCTTCTCTTTATTATTATTGTTATTATTATTACTCGTAACAGTCTTACTACTATTATTATTAATAATACTACTATTATTATTATTATTATTGGTATTATTATTATTATTAATATTATTATTATTATTATTATTATTATTATTATTATTATTATTATTATTATTAAAAAATATGTGTTCATCCTCCTTCTTTTTCCTTCTTTCCTCCTGCCCCTTTCGCCCTCTTCCACCTCCTCCCCTCCCTGTCCTCCTTCTCTCTGTCCTCCCCCTTCCCTGTCCTTCCCCCTCCCTGTCCTCCCCCTCCCTGTTCTCCCTCTCCCCCTCCTAGCCCCCCACCCCACTCCTCCTCCTCCTCCTCCTCCTTCTCCTCCTCCTCCTCCTCCTCCTCCTCCTCCTCCTCCTCCTCCTTGCCACCTGACATGGTGTCGAAGACCGCGTTCGCGGCGTCGAAGCTCCCTTCGCTGCTAATCAGCGATTTGGTGTCGGCACCTGGGACGAGCCTACCAGGGTCGAGGAGTATAGCCACCTCGGGGTCCTGGCAGGGCCGAGTAATCAACGTGGCAGCACGATCCTCCTCTTCCCCCTCCTCCGGTTCCTCCTCTTCCTCCTCCTCCTCCTCCTCATACCCGTCCTCCTCCTCCTCCTCCTCCTCCCTCCTCCTCCTCATACCTTTCCTCCTCGTCGTCCTCCTCCTCCTCCTGCTCCTCCTCCTCCCCTCCTCCTCCTCCTCCTCCTCCTCCTCCTCTCCTTCTTATCCTCCTCCTTCCCTCCTCCTCCACCTCGTCCTCCTCCTCCTGCTCCTCCTGCTCCCCTTCTTCCTCCTCTTCCTCCTCCTCCTCCTCCTCCTCCTCCTCCTCCTCCTCCTCCCCCATTCTCCTCCACTTGGTCAAATGGTCCTTGTCGTTTCTGCCCCGTGCTCTTCCTCCCCCTCCTTCACTTCGGCTCCTCTTCCAGTAGTGAAGCGATCCTCGCCTCTCCCCCATTCCTCCTCTTTCCCCTTCTTCCTTCCACTCCACTCCCCTCTACATATCTCTCCAGAAGGGGAGGAACCGAGGGGGGAGGGGGCTGGGGGAGGAAGTCAGCGCTTCGCTGCACTAATTAATCGACCCTCTCCTTGTTGATAGCGGCGACAAAGGCGATGAACTCCAGCTTGGAGATCTCGCCGCTGCCGTCCCCATCGATGCGTCTCCAGATGTCCAGCATCGGGTTTTCGTCGATGTCCTCGTCAGAGGTTGGGGGTCTGAACACGTAAAGGCCCCTATCAAAAGATCGTCGTGCGAGACATGCGGGCGAGAAGCTGCAGTTGCGAACATGAAAACAGCAAGCGCGGTACAACATCCGAAAACGTCCAAGGACCTCATCCTCCTCACTCAAAGGTTGATAAGGGTTGGGGCAGCCCGGCGACCTTGGACGGCGCCCTGCCGCGGAAATGGTTGACGAACTCCGCGTAGGTGCCGCGCGACTTGCCGCCTGCTCCCTCCCTCCTCCTTGCTCCCCGCTCCCCCTCTTATTCTGATTCCTCCTTCTCCCCCTCCCCCTCCTCCTCCTGGTCCTCCTCGTCGTCCTCCGTCTCCTCCTTCTCTTTTTCCTCCTCCTGCTCCTCCTTCTTCACTTTCTCGTCCTCCTCATCATCCCCCCCTCTTCTCCCCTCCCCCACCCTTCCTCCTCCCTCCTCCCTCCTCCCTCCTGCCTCCTCCCTCTCCTTCTTCTCCTCCTCCTCCTCTTTCTCCTCCTCCTCCTCGTTCTCCTCCTCCTCCTCCTCCACCTCAACTAGCTGGAAGCGCGTGCTCAAGGAAGCCCTTGACGCCTCCATGTAGAAGCCCCAGCGGGACACTTAAGGCCAGGAGTAGGAGGCTCGTCTCATGACTAAACATAGTAGCGCAGGCCTGCCTCGTAGGAAGGACATTCCAGAACCCACAATGCCTAGCCTCGTTTGATGCCATTCGCGAAGCTGTGTATGATTTCACCCGGTCCTCTGGCACGGCTATGACTAGGGTCGCCACAGAGTGGTGCGCGTCGTGCCTGAATATGTTTGCCACTGGGAGCTTGCTAATCAGGCGCATTGCATCTTGGAGGCCAACGTGCATGGTACAATATTTTAGGCACATGCACCCTCTGCCTCAAGATGACCAGAAGGAGTCAGCAGCGCACGAGAAAGCGCAGAACAAGGCTCCCACTGAGCAGGGTCACTCAAATTTGCATTCCAACTTCCCTTCATGTCTTATCCCTGGTCCCATCCTTCTGCGATGGCCACTCATGCAAACTATCCGCTGCAATCCGCTAAATAAGATATCGCATGCACGGAAAATCGCAGGGAGGAGCAGGCAGATGCTGGCAGCATTTCCCGAATCGATTCAAGAAGAGTTTTGAGACCCAGTCCCCTCGGAAGTATAATGGCCATGTCAGCCCACGCAATATATCGGCCAGCTGGCCAACCCTGCACCGAGGAGGATCCTCAGAAGACAGGTCTTGATTGCCAACCAGTTTTGCGGCCAGAGAAGAAGGCACGACGTCCAGCATTCAATTGACATTTCGCTCAAAATCCACTCGTTGTGCTTTCTGTAGACACACTCCTTGATCGCCAAAAGGGTGACCTTTCGCGCGAGGGTGTGGTACACATCTAGGCCAGGCATGTCAGAACTGGTAGAGCGCAGAGCGCTAGCCGTAGGGGGGGGAGGAGGAACGCGTGAGGCCTTTTCGGCAGCGCGGTGGAGACAAGGCCCCCCCCCCCGCTCAGGACCTGGCAGGCCCCCTGGGGACCTACGGCGCTCACTCCTGGGCAAACGCTCCAGGCCAAGGTTTCAAATGGCCTCTTTCAGGTCCACGTTGTATTGGTGGAGATTATCCTGTGGCGTGGGATGGATGGAGCATCCTGCTCAGCCTTTGTGGGAACCTGGGTGTGTCCCTTCCTGGCACGTTATGACCATCAGCGCTCTCAAAACCTCACCTGCCTCTTCTTTCACGGTGTTCGACCACTGTGAGCCAGGTCGCATGGGCCGTGCCCCGATGGCCTTGTTGGCCATTCGCATGCCCTCACTTGCAGCCAAGATGCGTGATACACCCAGCGGTGGATTCTGTTCCCACGGCAGGGGGACTCACACTGCACTGGCCAGGTGGGACCACGAACGTAATGGATGGCGCTCAGCAGTCAAGGTGTACCCGCCCAGGATGTGCCAGATACTGGCAACAAGCATGCTGAATCCGCTGCTGCCCTCGACGCTCGGTCGGTCCAGGCTACTCGAGCCTTTGCCTCGTGATGTGGCTGAGGCTCAGGAGTTGCGCGGGTTGTTTTGCTGATTCAGCTCGTATTCATCATGCTGGGCCCACAAATGGGCCAGATTCCGCCTTCGATTCTTCTCACAGGTAAGATTTTTCACTTGAGAGAATGCTTGGTGCTGCTGCAAATGGGCAAGATGATAATCCCCACCGAAGAGCCGGAATCATACATGTCCCGCACTTGTTGTATGGCAGAGGCGGAGAGGGTCGAGCAGGAAGCAACAGACGCCCTGTGAGCAGATGCCGTAGCTCCCCTCCATTCCCCCAACCCACAGCTCTGAGAGGACGTGCGGGCAAGGATTGCCTCCTACAGAGCCGCAGCGCTAGCTAGGATATGAGAGGGATCAAAAGCGGCACAGGCCACCCAGGGGACTCCAGTTAATGACTCAGGCTTGCCTCCAAGACCCACTAGGTCAGTGCACATGGATTTGCATCAATGGTTTAGCTTTGCGATTGCCAGTTCTTGTACTTATTCAGAGTGAGGGGGCCGAACGGTTAGTCATTGTCCCTGGGTGCGTGGCTGAATAAAGAATTCGTGGTGGGAGTTCTGCTTGTTGCGTTGTTGTTGTTGTCGTTGTTGTCGTTGTTGCCGTTGCTGTTGCTGTTGCTGTTGCTGTTGTTGTTGTTGTTGTTGTTGTTGTTGTTGTTGTTGTTGTTGTTGTTTGTTGTCGTCGTCCCACCCGCGACCCACCCGCGACCCACCCCGCGACCCACCCCGCGACCCACCCCGCGACCCACCCCACGACACACCCCGCGACGCGACCCATCCGCGACCCAGCCGCGACCCAGCTGCGACCCACCCCGCGACCCATCCGCGACCCATCCGCGACCCACCCGCGACACACCCCGCGACCCACCCGCGACCCACCCCGCGACCCACCCTCAAGGGAGGACCTCACAATTGACTTTAACTAAAACGGCCCTGGGCGTTGACTAAACAGCCCTGCCCTGTTCGATTCATTCCTTGTGTGCGTTTACTAACGGCTTCGCTTGTCGGGGTGATTATGATGGGGTGGGTTTTCTGCCCTCTACACCCGCGACCTACCCGCGACCCACCCGCGACCCACCCCGCGACCCACCCGCGACCCACCCGCGACCTACCCACACTGGTTTAACGAAAAAGCGGCGCCTGCGGCGGGCTCGTTGTATAATTTGTGGAACTTTGGCGCCTGCGGCGGGCTTCTCCAGAGTCTCGCAAACTGCCGACGTCACCACCGCCCCCTCACTCTTATCCGCATCTGCGGGGTGCTACGTATTGTGCTTGTATGTGTATGTATGTATGCATGCATGTATATGTATATGCATATGCATATGTATATGTATATGTATGTATATGTAGGTGTAACTGTATGTGTAGATGTAGGGCGTCTCTACACACATGATTTGGTAACTACCCAATTTGTTTGACCATAACGATGGTTAAACCGAAATGGCGCCGTGAGTGATTGAGTGCACGCTGTGAGTGCACGCTGTGGTGAGCGCACGCTGTGAGTGCACGCTGTGAGCCCACGCAGTGGTGAGTACACGCTGTGAGCGCACGCTCTGAGTGCACGCTGTAGTGAGTGCACGCTGTGAGTGCACGCTGTGAGTGCGCGCTGCGGTGAGCGCACGCTGTGAGTGCACGCTGCGAGTACACGCTGTGAGTGCACGTGGCGTCGAGGGCTCGCTGAGCTGATGAGCGCGCTCGCACATCCTGCGCTCGCAGCGTGCGCTCACAGCGTGCACTCACAGCGTGGGCTCACAGCGTGGGCTCACAGCGTGGGCTCGCAGCGTGGGCTCGCAGCGTGGACTCACAGCGTGGGCTCACAGCGTGGACTCAGAGCGTGGGCTGACAGCGTGGGCTCACGATGTGGGCTGACCACGGCGGGCACGCACAGCAGCGTGGGCCAATCGCGCTGTGAGTGCACGCTGTGAGTGCACGCTGTGAATGCACGCTGAAAGCGCCACCCGGTGAGAAAGACCGTGAGCGCACGCTGTGAGTGCACCCTGCGGGCCCGACGGAATCTCAAATTGCTTACGCGCTGGATTTCTCCGCGCGGTCCGAGAGTGATTTCCTCTGTGGTGTGTGTGTGTGTGTGTGTGTGTGTGTGTGTGCGTGCGTTTGTGTGTGGTGGTGGTGGGAGTGGTGGTGGCGGTGACTGTGGTGGTGGTGGTGGTGGCGGCGTTGGTGGTGGCGGTATCGTTGGCGGTGGTGGTTGTGGTGGTGGGAGTGGTGGTGTGTGAGTGTGTGTGTGTGCGTGTGTGCGTGGTGGGTGTTGTGCGGTGTGCGGCGTGCGGTGTGCGGTGTGCGGTGGGCGGTGTGTGTTGCATGGTGTGTGGTGTGTGGTGTGTGATGCGTGGTGGGTGCTGTGTGGTGCGTGCTGGGTGGTCTGTGGTGGGTGGTGGTGGGTGGTGTGTGTGTGTGTGTGCGTGCGTTTGTGTGTGGTGGTGGTGGTGGTGGGAGTGGTGGTGGCGGTGACTGTTGTGGTGGTGGTGGCGGCGTTGGTGGTGGCGGTATCGTTGGCGGTGGTGGTGGTTGTGGTGGTGGGAGTGGTGGTGTGTGAGTGTGTGTGTGCGTGTGTGCGTGGTGGGTGTTGTGCGGTGTGCGGCGTGCGGTGTGCGGTGTGCGGTGGGCGGTGTGTGTTGTATGGTGTGTGGTGTGTGGTGTGTGATGCGTGGTGGGTGCTGTGTGGTGCGTGCTGGGTGGTCTGTGGTGGGTGGTGGTGGGTGGTGTGTGAGTGTGGTGTGGGAGGTGTGCGGTGTGGTGTGTGGTGTGTGGTGTGTGGTGTTGTGAGTCGTGTATTGCGTGTGGCGTATTGCGGGTGGTGTGTTGCGTGTGGTGTGCTGCGTGTGGTGTGCTGCGTGTGGAGTGTTGCGTGCGGTATGTTGCGTGTCGTGTGTGCGTGTGGTGTGTTGCGGTGTGTGGCATGTGGTGTGTTGCGTGTGGTGTGTTGCGTGAAGTGTATGTGTGTGTGGTGTGTGGTGTGTTGCGTGTGGCGTGTTGCGTGTGGTGTGTTGCGTGTGGTGTGTGGCGTGTGGTGTGTTGCCTGTGGTGTGTTGCGGGTGGTGTGTTGCGCGCGGTATGCTGCGTGTTGTGTGTGTGTGTGTGTGTGTGAGTGGCGGCGGGTGGTGTTTTGCGTGTGGTGTTGCGTGTGGTGTGGTGCGTGTGGTGCGTTGCGTGTGGTGTGTTGCGTGTGGTGTCGGAGTGTTGCGTGTAATGTGTTGCGTGCGGTGTGTTGCGTGTGGTGTGTTGCGTGTGGTGTGCTGCGTGTGGGGTGTGTTGCGTGTGGTGTGTTGCGTGGGTTCACCGCGTAGGCTCACAGCATGTGCTCACACGTGGGTTCACAGCGTAGGCTCACAGCGTGGGCTCACAGCGTGGGCTCTCAGAGTGGGCCCACAGCGTGGGCTCGCAACGTGGGCTCGCAGCGTGGGCTCACAGCGTGGGCTCATAGCGTGGGCTCGCAGCGTGGGCTCGCAGCGTGGGCCTGCAGCGTGGGCTCGCAGCGTGGGCTCGCAGCGTGGACTCGTAGCGTGGGCTCAACACAGCGTGCACTCACAGCGTGCACTCACAGCATGGGCTCACGATGTGGGCTCAACACAGCGTGCACTCACAGCGTGGGCTCACAGCGTGGGCTCGCGGCGTACACTCAACACAGCGTGCACTCACAGCGTGGGCTCAACACAGCGAGTTCTCACAGCGTGGGCTCACAGCGTGGGCTCACAGCGTACACTAAACACAGCGTGCACTCACAGCGTGGGCTCACAGCGCACACTCACAGCGCGCACTCACAGCGTACACTCACAACGTAAACTCAACACAGCGTGCACTAACAGCGTGCACTCACAGCGTGCACACAATCACTCACGGTCAAGCGAATTTCCACTCATGGTTAAGCGAATTTCCACTCACGGTTTGGATTCACCTTCGGTTCGGGGCGCTGCCAGGCTGGACACTCTTTGTACCTAGCTGGTAGCTGATAAACGAAGAAAACAAACGGTATGGAGTTTAAACCGTGCCAAGCTCGCAGCACTTGTGATTTCACCATTCACCCTTGCAATATGAACGGGCGGGCGTGTTAGTCATATCAAGTGGGGGTGGGATGTCTCGCATACGGTCCTGTCTGTCCTTGTTTTCTTTCCGTCTCTGGATCCTCCCTCCGCCCCCGACGCGCCCGCGTCCGCATTTGTGGTCGGGGGCGCCGTAGACGACCATTTGGCCGTGCATGGGGAGGTGGGTGGGAGGCGCAGGGGGGAGGGCTGTTCAATCACTACAGTCTGGTCTCAGTGTGACCACAATTTTGCGTTTTGCACTTGATCGGTGGGCCCACATGAGGCCCTCTCTCATGGACCCTTGAATGGCAAATTTCGCACTTTCGGCTGGTGCTTCCATGGGAGGTGGCACCCGCCCTGCAGTTGTGAGTCTGACTCACGCCTTCGAAGACGTTCTCCTCCTCCTCCTCCTCCTCTTCCTCCTCCCCCTCCCCCTCCCCCCCTTCTCCCCTTCCCCTTCCTCCTCCTCCTCCTCCTCCTCCTACCCCCTCCTCCTCCTCCTCCTCCTCCTCCTCCTCCTCCTCCCCTCCTCCTCCTCCTCCCCCTCGTCCCCTCCTCCTCTCCTCCTCTCCTCCTCCTCCTCCTCCTCCTCCTCCTCCTCCCCCTCCCCCTCGTCCTCGTCCCCCTCCTCCTTGTCTTCCTTCTTTTCTTCTTCCCGACCGCCCGAGATGGCGTCGAAGGCAGCGTCCACAGCGCCGAAACTCTCCTCGCTGTCGATCAGCGCGCCAGTGTCGACGCCCGGCAGGACCAGCGCGGCAACCTCTCGGTCCTTGCACGTGTCGGAGGAGCCCACAAGATAAAGCATCGTTTTTGGAAGTCATTGATTGTGTGTCTTTGTTGTTGTTGCTGCTGTTTCTATTGTGGTTGTTGCTGCTGCTGCGATTGCTCAAGACGATCCTCCTTTCTCTGCTCTGTTCTGATATGTGTCGCCGAGCCTGGGGACCTCACCCCGAGTCCGCCGTCTCCCATCACCGCTTGCACAGACCGTTCGTCGCTGCCTTGAAGCGAAGACGCATGCAACGATAATATTGTTGCCGACGTTGCGAGGGGCCAAATCCCCCGAATCCTTCTCGATGAAACCGAACTTCCACCACCCTTGATCCTCACGTCTCCCTCTCCCTCATCCCTCCTGCTCCCCCTCCTGCGCTCCTCCTCCTCCTCCTTCTCCGCCTGACTTCCTCCATCGCCTTTTTCCTGGTCGTCCCCCTCCTCATCTTCCTCTTCTCCCTCCTCCTCCTCGTCCTTCTCCTCCTCCTCAGCCTCTTCCTCCTCCTCCTCTTTCCTTTTCCTGATTGTCCTGCCTCTTTCTTCCACTCGCCCTCCTTATCCACCGTCTTTGTCTCCTCCTCCTCCTCCATTCATTTTCCTTTTGCATAACTCCTCCCTGTCGCACCCCGAAGCCAATCGGAAAGGCGGGCCGGGCGTTTCGCCCCGGACTTCCTTACCGCTTGTGAACCTCAGGATTAAAGGCTCGCAACAGTCTCACACAGGGAGGGCGGGTCGCTTCCAAAATGTGGTTCTCGCCCCAGCGCCGCGTACTTTTGTTGTACAGAGTTTTACAATAATTTCACAGATTGAAGGCGGGTCGCTTCCAAAATGTGGCTCTCGCCTGAGCACCGCGTACAATCGTTTCACAAGCTTGCAGAACTCCACATCTTGAGGGCGGGTCGTCTTCAAACTGTGGCTCTCGCCTTCGAGGCGCGCAAAATAATTTTAAAACCCTGAAAGCGTTTGACGGATTGAGGGCAGCTTCCTTTCAACATGTGGTTCTCGCCGTAGCGGCGAGTGCATTCGTTAAACAATTCAAGAGCTTTAAGGATTCAGGGCGGTTCCTTTTCAAACTGTGGCTTTCGCCTGAGCGCCGCGAGCATTCGCTGCAAACCATTGCAAGACTTTCATTGGTTACCATGGTAAAAGTACCACTGCTTGTGAACATGCCCAGATCCAAGATTGCCTGGGGGCAGCAGTACCTCATATTCGCGGTGCCGAACTTACATGACCGTTCTGACACGACTCACGATCGTCAAGACCCAACAACCGGGCTGACTCGTGGCGGTGAAATCCTGAGAATGGCGTTTTGGCACGCGTCAAAATGTTCACACGTTTGTCTCCCAATGGTGCACGTCCTTCAATGAAAATGAATCCGTGTTTGGGGTCCAAAAAGAGGCTTGGAGGGAGGTTCTATTCAAACATTGTTGATGAGTCTTGGGTTTGCACAAGTCCTCCTCCTCCTCCTCCGCCTCCTCCTCCTCCTCCCTCTCCTCCTCATCCTCCTCTTCTTCCTCATCCTCCCCCCTCTCTCCCTTCTCCCCCTCCACCTCCTCCTCCTCCTCCCTCCTCCTCCTCCTCCTCCCTCCTCCTCCTCTTCCTCCTCCTCCTCCTCCTCAATTCTTTTTCCTAATGAATAACTCCCTGTCGCACCCCGAGGCCAGTCGAGATGGCGGGCCAGGCGTTTCGCCCGACACTTCCTTACACAGTATGATTCCGAAGCTAGAACTTTGCAGAAACCTCACGGATGGAAGGCGGCCCGCTTTGTGAATGTGGCTCTCGCCTGAGCGCCGCGCACGCTCGTCTTGAACATTTGTAACAATTTCACGGATGGAAAGCGGTCCGTCTTCAAACTGTGACTCTCGTCTTCGAGGCGCGCACAACCGTGTTATTGAGGGGAGCTTCTTTTCAACATGTGGCTCTCGCCATAGCGGCGCGTGCATTTGGCGGTTCCTTTTCAAACTGTGATTGTCGCCTTAGCGCCGTGGTCATTCGCTGCAAATCATTGCAAGACCTTCGTTGGTTCTCATGGTGAAAATACCAATACTTGTGAATTGCCCAGATTCAAAATTATATGGGGGCAACCGTACCTCATATTCGCGGTGTCGAACGCCCAGCACCGTTCTGACACGATTCACGATCGTCAAGACCCAACAGTCATGTTGATTCGTGGCAATGAAATCCTGAGAATGGCGTTTTGGCACGCGCCAGGATTTTCACACGTTTGTCTCCCAATGGTGCACGTCCCTCAGTGGAAATGAATCCTTGTTTGGGGCCTAAACAGAGGAAACTGGAGGGTGGGTCTATTCAAACATTGTTGATGAGTCTTGGGTTTGCACTGGTCCTCCTCCTCCTCCTTATCCTCCTCCTCCTCTTGTTCTTCCTCCTCCTCCTCCTCCCCCTCTCTCCCTTCTCCCCCTCCACCTCTTCCTCCTCCTCCTCCTCCCCCCTCCTCCTTCTTCTTCTCCTCCTCCTCCTCCTCCTCCTCAACCTCCTCCTCCTCCTCCCCCTCCATTCTTTTTCCTTCTGAATAACTCCCTGTCGCACCCCGAAGACGGTCGAGAGGGCGGGCCAGGCGTTTCGCCGGACATTTCCTTGCACATTATGAATCCGAAGCTAGAACTTTGCAGAAACCTCACGGATGGAAGGCGGCCGCTTTCTGAATGTGGTTCTCGCCCGAGCGCCGCGCACGCTCGTCTTAAACATTTGTACCAGTTTCACGAGTGGAAAGCGGTCCGTTTTCAAACGGTGACTCTCGCCTTCGAAGCGCGCATAATCGTTTTAAAACCCTGCAAGCGTTTCACGGATTGAAGGCAGCTTCTTTTCAACATGTGGCTCTCGCCGTAGCGGCGCGTGCATTCGGCGGTTCCTTTTCAAACTGTGATTCTCGCCTTAGCGCCGTGATCATTCGCTGCAAATCGTTGCAAGACCTTTATTGGTTCTCATGGTGAAAATACCAAGACTTGTGAATTGTCCAGATTCAAAATTATATGGGGGCAACCGTACCTCATATTCGCGGTGCCGAACGCCCAGCACCGTTCTGACACGATTCACGATCGTCAAGACCCAACAGTCAGGTTGATTCGTGGCAGTGAAGTCCTGAGAATGGTGTTTTGGCACGCGCCAGAATTTTCACACGTTTGTCTCCCAATGGTGCACGTCCCTCAGTGGAAATGAATCCTTGTTTGGGGCCTAAACAGAGGAAACTGGAGGGTGGGTCTATTCAAACATTGTGGATGAGTCTTGGGTTTGCACTGGTCCTCCTCCTCCTCCTCCGCCTCCTTCTCCTCCTTATCCTCCTCCTCTTCTTTTGCCTCCTCCTCCCCCTCTCTCCCTTCTCCCCCTCCACCTCTTCCTCCTCCTCCTTCTCCCCCGTCCTCCTCCTCCTCCTCCTCCTCCATTCTTTTTCCTTCTGACTGACTCCCTGTCGCACCCCGAGGCTGGTCGAGAGGGCGGGCCAGGCGTTTCGCCTGACACTTCCTTACACATTATGATTCCGAAGCTAGAACTTTGCAGAAACCTCACGGATGGAAGGCGGCCCGCTTTCTGAATGTGGCTCTCGCCCGAGCGCCGCGCACCTCGTCTTGAACATGTGTAGCAGTTTCACGGATGGAAAGCGGTCCGTTTTCAACATGTGGCTCTCGCATTCGAGGCGTGCACAATCGTTTTCAAACCCAGCAAGCATTTTGCGGATTGAGGGCAGCTTCTTTTCAACATGTGGCTCTCGCCGTAGCGGCGCGTGCATTCGTTAAACAATTCAAGAACTTTAAGGGTTCAGGGCGGTTCCTTTTCAAGCTGTGGCTCTCGCCTGAGCGCCGCGAGCATTCGCTGCAAATCATTGCAAGACTTTCATTTGTTTTCATCGAAAAAAAAACACCAGTACTTGTGAATGGTCCACATTCAAGATTGTTTGGGGGCAGCAGTACCTCATACTCGCGGTGCTGAACTTCCCTGACTGTTCTGACACGATTCACGATCGTAAATACCCAACAGTCACGCTGATTCGCGGCGGTGAAATCCTGGGAATGGTGTTTTGGCACGCATCAAAATGTTCACACGTTTGTCTCCCAATGGTGCGCGTCCCTCAATGGAAATGAACCCTTGTTTGGGGCCTAGAGGGAGCTTGGAGGGAGGGTCTATTCAAACATTGTGGATGAGTCTTGGGTTTGCATTGGTCCTCCTCCTCCTCTTCCTCCTCCTCCTCCTCCTCACTCTCCTCCTCCTCCTCCTCCTCCTCCTCCTCCTCCTCCTCCTCCTCCTCCTCCTCCGCCCCCTCTCTCCCTTCTCCCCCTCCTCCTCCTCCTCCCTCCTCCTCCTCCTCCTCCTCCTCCTCCTCCTCTTCCATTCTTCCTTATGAATTATTCCCTGTCGCACCCCGAGGCCGGTCGAGAGGGCGGGCCAGGCGTTTCGCCTGACACTTCCTTACGCATTATGATTCCGAAGCTAGAACTTTGCAGAAACCTCACGGATGGAAGGCGGCCCGCTTTCTGAATGTGGCTTTCGCCTGAGCGCCGCGCACACTCGTCTTAAACATCTGCAGCAGTTTCACGGATGGAAAGCGGTCCGTTTTCAACATGTGGCTCTCGCCTTCGAGACGCGAAACATCGTTCTAAACTTCTGGAAGACCTTCACGGGTTGAGAGCGGTTCCTTTTCAAACTTGGGCTCTCGCCGTAGCGGCGCGTGCATTGTTTTCAAAGTTCGCAAGAGCTTCACGGATGGAGGGCGGTTCCTTTTCAGCATGTGGCTTTCGCTTTGGAGGAGCAGAGCTTCACGGATGCTGGGCGGCTCTGGCTCTCGCCTAAGCGCCCCGCACTTGCGTCTCAAGAATTTGCAGCAACTTTAAACATTACAATGGTTAGCGTGCCTGAAACATTTTTTTGTGCACGATGTCGGAATGTTGGGGCGCAGCAGTCACGTTGATTCGCTGTGTTGAAGTCCCGGGGACGGTGTATTGGCACGATTCATGATCGTCAAGACGTTAGAGTCACGGTGATTCGCGGCAGCGACGTCCAAGGAACGATGTTCTGGCACACTTGCGGATTCCCGCAAAGGTTACCCTCCAACGGGGCATTTCCGTCTGAAAATGAATCGGTGTAGGAGCCTATGAAAAATAACACATTGGAGGGGGAGCGTATTGCAATATCGATGATGGGTCTGGTCCTCCTCCTCCTCCTCCTCCTTCTCCTCCTCCTCCACTCTCCTCCCCCTAATTTCCCAAATGTAAGTGGACGCTCCACATGGTGAAAGGGCACTCCTGTCTCCCCCCATCCACTCTTCCTCATCCTGTTCCTCCTCATCCTCTTTCTTATTCCTCCCCGTCCTCCTGTTCATCCTCCCCGTCGTCCTTCTCATTCCCCCTCCTTCCTCCTCCTCGTTGCACCCCGCCCACCTCCGTAGACCCACTCCCTGGAGTGGGAGCAGACGAAGGAGGGGCCACGGCAGCGCTCCCCTGCTCCGACCTGCTACTCCCATCCTTGTTCATGGCGGCGATGAAGCCAGTGAACTCCAGCCTGGAGATTGCGCCGCTGCTGTCCGCATCGATGCGCCCCCAGATGTCCTTCAGGATACTCACGTCGGTGTCCTCGTGCGCGGCTGCTTCAGGATGCTGGGGGGAAAGAGGGAAGACGCTGAGGCAAACGCTGCGTTGGTGCATGCATAACCTCCGTCGATGCCGGAATACGGATACAGTCCGTGGAGGAGTTCGTAAGGAAAAGGAATGGAGAAGAGGAGGATGAGGAGAAGGAGGAGGAGGAAGAGGAGGAGGAGGAGGAGGAGGGGGAGGAGGTGGAGGGGGAGGAGGGGGGAGCACGTTCATCTGAAGAGCTGCGCGAGAACTTGCAACATCGTCGTGGACATGTCGAACAGGGGTGCGTTCTCCGCGCGGCCCCCATGGTAAAACACGCCAATGGTATGTTGATCCGTCTTCGGCCCGTCGCACACCGGAGAGCACGCCACGGCGCTCTCACGGCACTGGACGGGCGGTCTGAGAGGCAACCTGAGCGAATAGGAGTCCGTCACGGCGTTCCCAAGGGATGGAAAACAAAAACATCAATCAACCGCTTTGCATGGACGTGGAGGCACCTCTACAGATTGATCCACGGTCGCCCTCCACATCATCTTCCCCCCTCCTCCTCCTCCTCCTCCTCCTCCTCCTCCTCCTCCTGCTCTTTTCCCCACCTCAGCTTGCTCCTCGTCTTCCGCCCCATCATCATCCACTCTCTTCCCCTCCTCCAGCTCCCAAATATGTATGCGTGGTTTTTGATGGCTTTTGTCCTCCCTCTTCTTCTTTATCATTCCCCTCCTCCTCCTCCTCCTCCTGTTCCTCCTCCTCCTCCTCCGCCCTCCTCCTCCTCCTCCTCCTCCTCCTCCTCCTCCCCTCCTCCTCCTCCCTCCTCCTCCTCCTCCCTCCTCCTCCCTCCTCCTCCTCCTCCTCCTCCTCCTCCTCCTCCTCCTCCTCCTCCTCCTCCTCCTCATCCTCCGCCTTCTCCTCCCTCCTCCTCCTCCTCCTCCTCCTCCCTCCTCTCCTCCTCCTCCCGTCCTCCCCTCCGCCTCCTCCTCCTCCTCCCTGTCCTCCTCCTCCTCCTCCTCCTCCTCCTCCTCCTCCCTCCTCGCGCGCGGCCGAGGCGCAGCGGTCTCTCCCAGCGCCCGCGCCGCGCGCGCTAGAGCTGCAGCTGGGCGCGCACAGCAGGCACGAGGGCTTCCGCCTCGCGAGAGGTGGGGGTGCGACCGAGGGCGGCACGCTTGGCCCTCGGCTCAGTGCAACGAGCAAAGCGGCATCGGGGCTCCGAAGCGTGCGGGCGAAGGCTCCACGAGACCCAAGAGATCCAGTTCATCCCAGTCGTGCCCCCCCCCCCCCCGCCACCCCGCCCAAAGTCTCGCAGACTAATTGGGGAAGCGCTCGGCACTGCCAGTAGTGTCGCATGCATTCGGGGGCCGCCCAGCCCAAGACACTCGTGGCTCCATACTGTTGGAGCACCTGCTGAGTGAGCCAAACCTTCGGCAATATTCGGATGAGAGCGAAGGCGTGAGACAGTTTACATCGGGGCATCGTCGCACTGACCTTGTCCCAATCGGCTCGCTGAATTTCGTCGGCTTGCCCAAGGAAGCAGCTTTTCAAACGGCGAACGAAAAGAAACTGGCGGGCTCCCACGGGGAAAAGGGTTGCCGTCGCGAAGGCCGCCTGGGTACTTTGGATTTTCATGCCAGGTCCTACGGTCCATTTGGACCATTTTATCCTGCTCAACGGTCAGGTCTCGAACTTCGTGATCTGTGGCCGCGCCGTTCGTTCTCGACGCGCCCAAGTGGACGACGCCGACACCACGGGCAAACCCACGGCAAACCCTGCATCCCGCGCTTCAGGTCGACGAAGCCGGCACCGCAGCAAACCCCACGGCAAGCCCACCGCGCCCGAATGCCCCGGTGCCCGCGGTGCCCTCCCCAAGACATGGGGCCTCGCGTCGGAACACATGGCACGGCGACATATCCGGTGGCGAAGTATCGTACTTTCGGATCGTCTGGGGATCCTGCAACAGCAATCTGAAGACGTTGACAAAGCGCAAGCTCACCCCACCAGCCTGGGGGCCGTTGCCCACGAACAACAAAGGCGAGAAACACCTTCTCGAGAGCCTGGCCCCGAAACTTGCGCACCATCGGGGGCCAACACCCCACAAATGTATAGAGCGCAACTCTTCCGTGAGCTGCGTTCGCCGTGACTGCCAAGCATCGGATTCTCGGCCCTCCTCCCCACTTCCCCATCCCAAGCCATCCAGCCCGACTGGGCGCACGGTGCGGAAAGTGAACGATCTTGGCGAGCATGGCCGCTTCTTGCCCCGGGAGCCGCCCAGGCTCTGGCCGGCGCGCGTCGGCGACGTTCGAGAAGAGCGGGCCCCGGTGGACGCAGGTTCTGCGTCCTGGCGCCCTTTACACCGACGAAGTGTTGGGCGCCGCCTTGGGCGCTCGCGGTGGCGACTTCGTCGCAGTGGGCGAGTCCGAGAAGCCTGGCGCGCACGACGCTCTCGTAGAAGAGCACGTAGAAATCGAGAAGTTTGGTCGAGTCGGTCTAGGCGCCGCTGGAGGGTGCCACGTGCGGTCGGCTACTCGCGCGATGCATCGAGTGGCGGGCGGCACCGTCTGTTCGCTTCGCGTGGAGGGCGGGCCGCTCGCACGTCGACAACCCGCTCCTGCTCTCGGTCGGAGCGCTGGCACATGCTGAAGAAATGTCTCCGAGACCCGCACCTGCCGAGGGGCGCTGCCCAAGGCTTTTATTGAACGAGTACGCCCCAAGGCATGTCAGGTTCGGGACGCTTTGGCATTCGGCCCAGGGGGACACAGTATGAACAATAGCCTTCGAGCACATCTGAGCCAGGGTGGGAGTGAAGGGACCATGCAGCGGGGTGACGTAGCAGACGCTAACTTTCAGGATCAGGGCGGCGAGCTTCTTGGCCCGCGAGAAGATGCGAACAATAACTGCCATATGCCTAAGCTTGATCGTGACACCACCGAGGTCGTCGGCGCACGCATACATGGCCACGCAGTGCATGCGGATGAAGCTGGCCTCGAAGCCCAGCAGGAGTGTATTCCAGCTCGTAGCGAACAGAGCTCCACTGGCGTGGCAGCCTTGGATGATCCAAGAACAAACCCCGAAAAGCCAGACCGTGGCGCCGCCTAGACTCCCAAAGCATTGAACATTCTGATCGAGCACCACGGAGAGTCACAGGAGGGGCTCGGGAGGCGAATCATTTGGAGGACCCTTTCCACACAGGAGTGGGGAACGGACGGGAAAGCCTGCCCGATATCGTGGGAAACAGTGGCTCGGTCATGTCCGACCGTGGCCAGCATGCCAGCTAGCGTGGCGCGCGTGTTCGATGATCTTAGGCCCAAGCTGTCGACCGATCGTGGTCCCTGTCTGGAGCTGGCAGCTGTTTTCTGCCATCTTAGCCGAGAACGGTCTGACCACAAAGCTGGTGATAATCCGCCGACCCCTTGGGGTCACGGCATGTGAGATGCTTCCCCCTCCCCAAACCCCTTCCCCCGGGAGCCCGGTCCGGCCGGTTTGGAGGGTGGGGTGGGGGCGGGGGGCAAAGGTGTCATCAGGCCCCACGAGGCCCCAGAAGGCTCCAAGCAGCCCCCACGACGGCCCAAGAGGCCTCCGAGACGCCCAAAGGTCGGCCCAAGACGCCCAGGATGGCCCCAAGACGGCCCAGGAAGCCTCCAAGAGCATTCCCAAGAGGGGCCCCAGAGGCCAAAATCGTTGAAGGAATTCCTTCGGGAAAGCGTGCATTTCTATCATGCACGACTTTTCGGCCTTCACGGCGTTGGAGACGGCCCCAGTCCCCCAAGACCGCCCCAAAACGGCCCAAGGGGCTCCCACGAGGCGTCCGAAACGGCCCAAGAGGGCGCCAAGACGGCCCAAGAGGCTCCCAAGACGGCCCAAGAGTGCCCCAAGACGGCCAAAAGAGGGGCCCAAGAGGGAGAGCCTGAACCAACAATCCGAACCTTCCGCCCCAGAACGGCCCCAGGGGGGCCCAAGAGGCGCCCAACAGGGCCCATGAGGCCCCCAAGAGGCCCCCCAAGAGGCCCCCCAAGAGGCTCCCAAGAGGCCCCCCAAGAGGCCCCCCAAGAGGCCCCCAAGAAGCTCAAAAGAAGCCCCAAATACCACTTGAGGCATGTGACTTCTAACCCGCAAGCCAGGCACCAAGGATCTCAGGCCGACAACCAAGGCACGGTGGCGGGATGGGCCGAAGGCCACTCTCTCTCTATATATATGTATGCTTGTATGTATGTATGTATGTATGAATGAATGGATGACTGTATGTCTGTCTGTCTGTCTGTCTGTCTGTCTGTATGTATGTATGTATGTATGTATACATCTATATTTGCGTGTATGTGTACGTATATATATATATATATATGTGGTCGCCCCCCAAGATAATACCATTTCGTCTCCTCATCCTCGACTGCTTCGTTTCCTTTGTCTCTCTCTCTCTCTCTCTTTCTCTCTCTCTCTCTCTACCTCTCTCTCTGTCTCTCTCTGCCTCTTTCTCTCTCTCTTTCGCTCTCTCTCTATCTTTTTTTTTTGTCTCTCTCTCTCTCTCTCTCTACGCAATGCTTGGCGCCACCGATGCAAGGAAACGTTTTTTTTTGTGTTTTGTTTTTTTTTTTGTCTGCGAAGCCACGGAATACTGTGTATTTTTTTCGGTTTTGAGAGGCAGAGAGAGGGGTGCTGGGAGGGAGGCCGCGGCGGGCACGGGGGCTTGCAAACCCACCCACCCCCAAAAACATCACAATGTTTCGTGGCTTCGCAAACAAAAAAAACAAAAAAACAAAACAAAAATACACAGCGTTTCCGACCATCGGTGGCGCCAAACACGGTGCACGCGCGCGTTCTGTCTTGATTCGGGAGGCACAGTGACAGGTGCTGGGGGGGGGAGGCGGCAGGGGAGCAACGAGCTCTCTCCCCAAGCTGAGCTTGACAATACCTACTACTCAACTCCCTCCGTCTCCAACACACCACCAGATACTCAACTGGCTCCCTCCCCAAGCTGAACTTGAAAATGATATTCTACTCAACTCCTTCCGTCT